AGGTCGTGGCCATAACTGGAACTTGAAAAGTTGCGAATTGGCAGCAGAGGTTTTGCCAACATGGGTGGGTAGCCGGATGCAAGTGCGTATTTTTGCTTCGTACAACGGCACATGTCAGTAAAATATGTTGGTCGAGCTTGGGGGTCGTATTCGTTATTGGCATTTTTGTTCACTTTTTTGATTCGTTTGCAATTGTCCTGCTCGTCATATGCCCACTCCATCCAATTCAGTTTCGACACACTTGTCCATCTGTCCTCCGTTACGCCGTTAACTCTCACTTTCAGTTCCGCCCTAGAAAAAAAACATGCGTCGAAATCCAGACAAAAAGTCCAAGATTTTTATTTTATTTATACACAAAATCCAGATTTAGAGTATCCCCTGCATAAGGGAGCATATGAGCGATCCTAGTTTCGTTCGGCTGGTACTCAAAGTAAAAACAGATTACAGCTTGTTTCGTAAATGTGTCTTGGTCTCGGTCTGGCAGATCCTGGTCTATCGACGTAAGATGTGTATCAAACACTATAATCGCTTCATTATCCCTCTTCAAGACTTCAGTTGGTCCGACCTGCGCAGCACAACACGTTAAGTTTCATACAGTAAAAACGACATGAATTACGAGAGGTAAATACCCAATGGTAGATGTTGTTCGGAGTTTTAGCAACCGAAGGGGTGATTGCATGCACATTGCGTGGAAATGTGTGATGCTTTATCTTTGGGGGAAGCGTAGTCCCAGGGCAAGCCTTTTGTTGTAAAACCGTGTCATTAAGATTTTCGACGTGGCGACTAAGTTTTTTTGCGTCGTCATAATCATAGCTGCCGATGGGGAAACGATCCTCAGCCAGGTCCGTCTTCCCTGCCAAAACGGCAAATTGAAGTCTGACCATGTTTATTTTGGTGCATTCGTCCGTCGTGCTTTTGAGTAAGGAGATATGAAACACGTTCGGCTGCCTATCAACGAGAGGGGTTTTGTCATTCATGGGAATGTAGGATAACTCGTAACATTTTGATGCTAAAGCATCGAGGTCAGGGTCGGAAGGCTGAGGTGGTTGGAATGGGTTGATAATTGTGCCGTCCGGTAATTCTAGGTCCTTCAGGTTGTAACCGTATTTAGTTCCTTCGACAGTCCTCCAAATTAGCGAGGCAAGAATGATAAGCAAATTTATCTTAATTTTCATCGTTTTGCTCATGATGGAAAATCTGAAACGCTAACACAATGATTCCTCTAATGGCGAGAGGTAAGTCCAATGTTCAAGAGCAGGGTAGAGTTATTTGACAACTTATCACCAAGCTCAATAAATCGTAATGCAATTTTCCCTAAAGTTATTTTCTTTATTTCGAACTTGAAATAAAGTGTCAAAAATGGTTACATTTATCAAGACATGCAAATTTGTTAACAATGTCATTAAAAATGAAAAAGTTTTAAATATAATAGATTTCGTTGAATTTTTTTCCTGGTGGGAGGGTCCCCAGGATTGAAGCTATATTCCCACGTTGAACTGCAATGCTTAATCGCTAGAGGAGAAAGATTGTGGAGCGTGGTTCTCCAGTCGTGGCAGCGATCCGTTGACCAATGTCTTTAATAAAAGATAATCCCTCTTGCCCCCATATACCTGTCGTCTCAATTGCAACGGGCATAAAAATGAAGCGGTCCTCGAGAAAAGCGTAATATCGTCTCTTTTTGTCTTCTGCTTTGGTAGCAGCAGCGCCTTGGTGCCGGATTGTGTTGGGGAGATGACTAGGGGCGTAGGTATCCACACAGGTAAAATCCCAAACCAGAGATTTTCCTCTTGCCCAGGGGACGAGGGTCAAACCGTCGGGATGCTTTCCGTCTTGGTGGGAGCATCCGGCCGGCTCTAAAATGCAGGGGACTTCGGCGGAACGCAAAGCTCTCGCGATCATTAGCGGCAGCATGGCGTGACCACCGCCCAGCACTTCGCCTGCAGGAGAGACCATGATAGCCTCGCGAGTTGACCTGAATTCCACAAGGGCAGGTGTGGGGTTGACAGATGTCGCAACCCAAACGAAGGGAGATTGCGACGCGAAAAGCCTCATTTGAAAAAAGGGTACCAAGTTGGGGGGACGGAACAGAGTTGAGCCAGGCCCCGGCAAATTTGTCGCGTAGTGCTCTATAGCGGGCAGTGTCTTCTGGAGTTGAAGCGTCAAGCAAAAGTTGGGACACAGTGACGTCCAGAATTGGACGCTCCCATGCGCCCTGGACTCCTCTGACAGTTTCGGGGGGTAGTTCCGTGGGTCCAAAGGCGGACCATTTCTGCTCTCCCTCTTGCATGGCGATGTCAGTGTTATGTAGATAAACTGGAAGGAGACGTTCTACATGGGGCAAAGCGCTGTGGACGGACCCAAGAAAACACGGTATCGCCACATCCAAAGCATGTCTAACCCCCAATCCGCCTTCCTTCACAGGTAAGGATGACTGTATCCAGGCAGCATCCGAAAGAGAACAATTCAGGATCGCCTCCAGCCCGTCCTTGAGAGCAGCATCGTAGTGGGTAAGAGCGTCCAACTTTCTCCACGTTGGGGCACAACGGAGAAAATATATAAGGCGTGGAATAGAGATTGATGCTCGGAGGAGGAAAAAGGCTGAATGGCTGGAAAGGTTACTGAGTCGGCGGGAGAAAGTAGCCAACTGCTCCGCTTTTGTGGCCAAGACGATCTCCATAGCCTCGTTCGTGAGAGGGGCACCCAGAAGCATCGCATTTTCGGGGGACATTACTTGTATCCCAGGAGCCTGGAGTTGAAATTGACGGAGAATGTCGATGGCGGTGTCTCGATCTGCTCCCAGAATACCCACTTCGCACTTATCACGATTGAGGTGGAGACCAACTTGTTCACCCATTTTGGAAATTGTCTCTAGAGCTGCTAACACTTTCTCTGGGATATCAGCTACAGTGCCATCATCTAGGTACCACATGTTCAGTTCCGTGTCCAATGATTCAACGATGGGGTGGATCACCAAGGAGAAGAGGGCCGGGCCCAAAGGGTCGCCCTGATGGCAGCCTAGTAGCGAAGGGAGGGGTACTGTCCCGTAGAAAAGTGACGAAGGGTTGGTGTAACATTGCGAGACAAAGGCATAGATTGAAGGAAAGTGGTCTCGGACGGTGTGTAGAAGATTGTCCCTGCGTATTTCGCTGAAAGCGTTCCTAAAGTGAGTGAGGGTGATTGTAGTAGACTCGAGCTGTGTGGGCGCCGATTTCTGCACCACCTTTTACGCCAACTCCCAACTGATGTGGAGAAAAGTGGTCAATTAATTGCGGGGTGATTCGGGCCACGACGACCTTTGCAGCGAGGCGGCGCCACGTGTTTCCCACGGCGATTGGTCTAATTCCTCCGGATTTCTTTTTCAAAGCCGTGAGCGACGCCCCGTAGAATAAAGGACATATATTTTCTGGGATTCCGCCGTTAAGGGTCAAGTTGAGGAATGCACAGAAGGCATCTGCAAGGTTGACACCGCTCTCACCTTGGTTGCATCCCAGTAGGTCCTTCAAAATTTGAGGCCGCATACCATCAAGCCCACCAGCCGATCCTGGGGGGAAAGTTGAGATAGCCTTAAACACCTCCGGGTCAAGAACTGGTGCGACGGAAGGATTCGCTGGTGGTGGAGGAAAATTGGTAGGTTGTGGGTGAGGTGGATGTTTCTCGAGGAGAGCAGAGAGAGTTGTATCATCTTTAGGGGCAAATGTGTCATCAGAGCAGGCAAGGCGAATTGCTCCACGAATATCTCCATCAGCAAGTTTGGCCTCTACTTTCTTCGAAGTTTCATCATGAGACGATTTAGTGGATGATGGGCGAGGTGGATGTGGTTCTGGGATGAAAAAATTAGCGTCCCATGCAGCAGTACGAGTCTTCACCCAAGTGGTCAAGTTCTTGACCCTGTCAGCTCTCTGTGGGATGGGAAGTGCGGCATATGTGAATAGTAGCAGCTTTCTCCAACTTTGTTCATCACCTGACTCGACAACATCTTTGAGAATTTTGGTGAGGCAATGAGCGACGGCCATCCTGGCACCTCGTGGTACTCTGCGCAGGGTGGGTGTCGACATCTTCAAACCGGAAAGAATTTCACCCAAATCCTTTTGACCTTGTTGATGGGGATCTGGTGGCGGCGTGTCTGCCCATTTGATACCTTCATATACATTGTGGGAATTCCCTCTTGAGCCCAGGCGCCGACTTTTGGTGTTTGGGAATGCCATTTGAATATATTTTCCGAGCGTGGCTTTGGTGACTCCAGGATCTGTAGACTGACAGAGGAATGTGGAATAACGGGAAAAAATGTCTGTCTTTTTAATGTAGATTTCCGTATGAGCCGTTGGGTCGACAGCAACGAGAGACTCCTGTATCCACCGCTTTGCTGCTGCTTTCTTATTTCCACCAGATGAAAGAGTAAGATTATGATGACCAGGAGAAAGTAAAGTGGATGATTGTGTAGGCGTGAGAAAGGTGACACAACTTGGACAAAGCCAGTCTTCCTCTGGAACGTCGGAAAGTGCGACACATTTCAAATGATACCATTTTGTGCATTGGTCGCAGAGTATCCAGTCATCTCCCTCAACATAACTTGCTCCAGGGCATGTAGAGATTGGGCAGTGATCAGTTTCTTCGACCTCTTGGTTGATTGGTTCTGGAGGGGGAGGAGAAGTGGCAAGCGTTTGCATTGTGGTCATTTTTTGTGATAAAATTCTGTTTGGGATGATGCTCATCTTAATCATTGAGCAGAGATAGACACCACCATCGTCCACCGCGTTTCGAAAGATGGCATATCGGTAGAGAAAGGCGAGGTTAGCGTCGAGAACGTTGGCGAGGTTAGCGTCGAAAATGTTGGCGGGGAGGGCCTCGATAACGTTTGTTTGATAATTTTCCCTTGCATTCAGCAATGTTGCTTGGTTTCGCAATTTTCTTTAGTTTGCAGAATTTTCGAAAAGTATTTCCGGTTTCTCATTCTGCAGTCAATCTGCAAATTAGTTTAGTAAAATTCGTCCTTATGAATAATGGAGGATGAATTGGTCGAAGAGTCAAAACCAATCGTTGAAGGAGATGCGTCTGGAGAAGGAGTCAACTTGGAGGTTACGAATCGTCATGCGGAAAAAGAATGCGTCGAACCTCAAGAAGTAGCAGGATGGCTCGAATCTCCACCACCGTCACCGCCGCAAATTGATAAGTCGACTGATACGGATTCGTCCTATAAATTAAAAGCTCTTCAAACGGCACTTGTAAATTCCGGGATTGAAAATGCAAAACAAAAATATTCCAAAGTCTTTCACCAACTTGAGCTAAACTTTTTCGAAAAGTTGTTCAGGATGTAAACCCTTTATTAAAATATATTAAAACTATTTTATGACATGATTTCAATTGATTAATTAATTTCGCAGTGCTAACATTGCCCAAGATGGACTGCTTAATGATACCGAGCTGATGTTCTTTTTGGACCATCACGACTACGTGATATCGAAGCAAGAGGCGAGACAAATCATACGAGAGGGCGACCAAAATCGGGACGGAGCACTAGATTTTGCAGAATTTCTCAGTCTTTGTGAAAAAGCAAGCATCAATCTAGAAGAAATCGGAATTCTTTCGGAAGATTGGGAGAGACAGTTACAAAATTCGGTCAAAATACGAAATTTCTTTCGCATACTTTTTGATTCAATCAACATCGCTCCGTGTATTCAGGAAACTGTGGAATACTTTGAGAACAAGGTGAGAGTTGAACGTAAATAAAGCAATTGTGTGATAATTACACATCTATCACGATTTGCAGATTGCTGAGAATGCCGACTGTAAATCAGTTGACAACTCTGAGATATGTCTCCTCCAGAGAAATTACATGCTAACCACCACCACGGAAATTATGACCCCTGTTTCTGGAGAATACGACTTTGACCTCATCGTCCTGGGGAATGGCGCAGGGGGAAATAGTGTGGCTAAAGAGGCTGCCAAAATTGGGAAGAAAGTAGCAATCTGCGATTCTTCACCAAATAATTCTGCCCCAAATAGTAGCTTTTTCGCTCCGAGCTGTGTCAACGTTGGATGTGTTCCAAAGACGTTGATGAACTATGCCGGTGTCGTCGGTGACACGGTTGACCAACGGACTTCACTACCTTTTGGATGGTTCGCTGCACAAGAAGCAGGAGTATCGCCAAATTTGGAAGAACAAGCGGATAAATCTCTCTTCACGAATGACTGGTCAACTCTTGTCGACAATATTCAGAGTTATATTCGCACCTTAAATTTTGAGCGGCAGTTCGGTCTCGAACATTACAAGTGGGTACAGTACTACAACTCGAGCTATGAGTTTGACGGTCCTCATACGATCAAGTTGACCCACGAAGACAAAACGACAGAATTTATCACTGGAGAGGTAAAACGCCAAAAAATAGTGTATGCATTACTTTTTAAATAATTAAACTATTTTTTCATGTCCAGAAAATCGTCATCGCTATCGGGTCAACTTATCGGCAGCTGGACATTCCCGGCGCTCAAGGGAACTGTATCACAGTGGACGACATATTCTCCGTGCGCCACCATCCGGGGCGAGTCCTTATCATCGGTGGAGGAGAAGACGCCATCGAAATCGCCGGATTACTGTGCGGTCTCAAACTCGAAGTAACAATCATGTCAAGATCTCCAGTACTGAAAGGTTTCGACCGGAGGATGACGACCCTTATCTTAGAAACGTTGCATAGTCGTGGCGTCAAAATTATGATTGGTTGGACTCCGGTAGAAATACTTTGTGAAGAACGTTCCGGTTCTCACTTAAAGAAAAAACTAACACTGTGTGCAAAACATGTCCAAACTGGAGAAAGATCCAACAAGGATTTCGACACGATCATTCTCGCAATTGGCAGAAAACCTGCGACGCGTTTGCTCAATTTAAAAAATGCTGGTGTGTAATCACATAAGTACACTCTGCAATAAGTGCCCTTCTATAATTTGTCTATATCCAGTACCCTACATACTAGATTTACCAAATGCATATGTATCTGCAGAGGTGCTCATTGAAGACGACACCCACAAAATCTGGGTAGATAGCCAAGATATGACAACTACTGAGGACGTCTTTGCGCTTGGAGACTGTGCTTCCCAACGCCTCTCAACTCCATCCACGCTTATCAACTTTAACGGAGTGGCGTACCAGGCCGGGCTGAACTTGAGTAAGCGGTTGTACCACGGTCACATTGACTCGATGGAGTATGACCAAGTTCTGCCCAGGTTCCTTCTCACGTATCCTCACTCCTACGCCTGCGTCGGACTTTCGGAAGAAGATGCAGTGATTGAGCATGGAGAGACGAATATTGACGTGTATCACTCTAGGTCAATCCCGTTGCAGTATCAGCTAGGAAACAGGTATGGCTAAAATCAGAATTGTTTTACAAAAACAAAACACTTTATTAATTATTGCTTCTTCAGATATAAAACGGTCTGCTATGCAAAAATGATCACGCTAAAGTCGGAGGATGAACGTATCGTGGGTTTGCACTATTTGGGTCCGAATGCTGGCGATGTCATGCAAGGATACGTTTTGGCTTTGAAACTGAAAGCGAGAAAGGTGGACATGGACTCGATGATCAATATTCATCCTACAAGTGCGGAAATATTTTCACGAATGAGTAAAACCTTTGAAGAATCGGATCTCGTTTTGAATAGCACGTGCTGACTTTAAATTCAATGTGAACACTATCTCTCAATCTCCCATAATTGGGAAGATGGTGGTCATATCATAATTCATTTCAGGATAGATACTTGAGTGTAGCTTGTGAATTACTATTTCACTTGTGACGATTTAACTTTAAAGCCTTTAAAAGGTGGGGTTTGGTCTGATATATGCTTCTCAAGTTATCTCAGCAAAAAACATCAAATCATGGACTTGCGATCATGTATGTAAAAAGCGCATGTTGTATTCTCCTTTCATTTTTCCAGTAACAATTTGTATAAACTATAAACATTCAATAAATTAATAAATCTTACGTGAATATATATGTAAGACGTTAATTAATTAACCATTAGTTATTTGGTTAAGTTGCCAGTTATTTATAAGTATATGGTAAGTACTACAAAATATCGTCAAACGGTTCCTCTTTGGTCTCAATTTTCTTTAGCTGGACAGACAAATAAATATCATTAATACCACAAACATTGATAACTACAGCTACGCCCACAAGTGTAAGACATGTAAGGACGGGAAAGACCAGATAAAATGCGATCATGAGTTTTAAGGTGGTTGAGACCGGATTTAGTTACAATTTTTGAACATATGCATTATATATATCGGTATATATTAAATTATACTGTTGAACACTTATAAAGCCAAAATAAAACCAGAGTTTAGTAGATACGTTAAGTCGGAGAATCATTGGAATCTGATGATTCTCCAGACGAAACACGATACGCTCTTAATTGGTCCAAGCTCGAGATCCCAGATGCAATCATCATCCTGTGAAATCGAGACTCTTCATTAGCCATCAAATTTTGAGGAGTATCCAATTCAATCATCTGCACAAATCAGTTAGTGGATATTTATTAGCCAATTTTAATTTAAGAATGTCTTAAACAGGTACCTTCCCCTTATCCATTACAAGAATTCTGTCGTAAAAAGCGATCGTGTTGAGGCGATGAGCTACCGTGATTACAGTGCATGCCTTAAAGGCTTCTCGTATTGTGTTTTGAATTAAAAAATCAGTCTCAATGTCTAGCGATGCGGTTGCTTCGTCCAGCAGTAAAATCTAGTAAAATTAAGTTGATTAGGTTATAAATTTAGTCGTTAATTTCCCAAAGTATTAAATAAGTTTACTACCGAACCTTATTTTTGCGAAGTAATGCCCGTCCCAAGCAAATAAGTTGCTTCTCGCCAACCGAAAAATTATCACCTTCACTTGTCACAGCTTGAAGCAATTTCTTTTCATCTCTTTCAATCTAAATCGGTAAAACATATTATAATTGAAACATAAATAGTGATAGTCCGCAAATGAAGTATCTAGTTTTCACACACCTTCGCTTTTATATGAGACTTTTCCAGTGCCGTCCAAATTTGTTCGTCCGAATGTTGATTGAAGGGATCCAAGTTGTATCTGAGAATACGAAATGGCATCATTATTTAAAATATGCGAGAAACTATGTATCATTCCATATCGAGGCCAACCTGAGCGTGCCCTGGAACAAAACTGGGTCTTGAGGTATAACGGCTATACTCGCACGCAAGTCCTTGAGTGAAATTTCATTAATGTTCAAATCCCCAACAAATATTCTACCTTCGTCAACGGGGTATAATCTGCAGATTGCAGCTATAATTGACGTTTTGCCTATGATACAGGAAAAATACATTATTGAACCAAAATATATAAACTAAAGGATAGGTATAATTGATAGATAAAATACCTGCCCCTGTTCGACCAACGATCCCAATTTTTTCAGCTGGTTGTACATCAAATGACACACTCTCAATAACAAACGGGAGATCGGCTTGATATCGGAGTGAGCAGTTTTCAAACTTTATGCTAGGAATCATCGGCCACTCACTGCTTGGTTTTATGACAATTTTTGACTCGGGTTCCTCCTCTTCCAATTCCTCAGCATATTCTAGAACTCGTTCGACAGATAGGAAACGAGCCTGAAGTTCTGATTTCATCCGCATCACGAAAGGTACAAAAATGCAAACCTGAGAATGACAAAGCAATTGTTAGTTTCTAACAAAAATACATAGTCAAGTAGCTTGAACTTAGATTGGAGTGCGTACACTGTAAATGTTGGATAACGCAAGGCCGACCATACCAGAAGAAACTCTTCCTCTCAGCACTACTGCAGCTAATATGGTCCCAAATATGGTGAACATGCAGATCCCGTCCATACGGAAAGTGAACCTAGATTGCAATAGTTAATTTTAATAATTGAATAGAAAATTGAATATTTTTTAACTTTATTAATTGTCAAATGAGTTTAAAACCAACCAGCGATTTGCAGATCTATACACAGATTCGGCAGCTAGATGATTATTAACGTAACCCGAAAACCTGCAAAAAAAACAACACAACAATATGTGGGTCAGTATAATTTACATTTTATGGGCTAGAAAAACACCAGCTCACCTTGATTGAAATTGGTCTTGACGATGAAACGTACGTATAATTGAGAGACCGTTCAATGATGACTGCAGATGGTGAATTACTGGGGTTTTTAGTACGTTTTCTAATTTCCTTGTTTCTCGAACTCCAATGTTTAACCAAATGTCGAAAAATATCATTAACCCTAAAATAAAAGTCAGTTTATTATAATTAACGCTTAAATAAATAGTTTACTAAAATGCTATTAAATTTTTACCTAGTACAAAGATCATCCCGAAAGCAAACTCTGGATAAATAACGCACGTAATGAGTAGCGACAACAGAACGAATATCACAGACTGGATAACGAATTCGAAAAAGAAAGGTAGTCTAGCATCCACTGAAATTAAACAACAATCATTGTCAACTAAATCATTAGTTATTCTTCTTAAACTATATACTCCTCTAATTGTATGTCTTAAACAATACAATTTGACTCATACGTTCATCAAGATCCTTAGAAAAACGATTGGTAATTTTCCCAACAGGTGTTTTATCGAAAAAACTCATAGGTGAGTTGACCACTTTATGCAGCATTGTTGAATGTAAACCAGACGCTCCCCGTAAAACAAATCGAGACGACATCAGGCCCTTGATCAGTCCAACGAGTAAAGTTGCAAAGAGCAGAGCAACTAGAATTATTTGGTAAAACCAAAGCCGAGGATTTTCATTGACGAACCCTCTGAGATCACTTTCAGATAATGTAACATTAGATTCTTCGGTAAAGTTGGCCAATCGTTCCGCCTGTATATAAGCAATTAGTGGAAAGTAAATGGTTTACTATAAATCCCTAAATGGATTAAATCAAATTGCTTACCATTTTACCATCCCCGTCATCCAGCCAAAATCTAAGCCAAACTTGTGTCGACTGTTTCCCAGCTCCAAAAATAAGAAAAAATATTAATAGTACTCCAAATAAGGAATATCCTCCAGCAGCCTTGAGGTAATGTAAATAGGCCTTGATTCCAGCAAACTTGTATAGTGAATCGTCTTCAATAATTTTTTGCGCAAAGCTTTCTACGGGATGGGATGATTTCTTAATTTTCTTTGCAGGAGATTCATAGCTAATGCTGTTCTTCACATCGTTTTCTGAAATCAATGGAATGGTATCTTCTGTTTTGGATTGATTTTGGTTGTGGTACTGTAGCATGTTGTAATAATTCTGTTTTTGAACGACGAGCTGTTCGTGCGTTCCGTGTTCGACAATTTCTCGATCTTTCATGAAAATAATTTCGTCGCATTCCTCCAAAAACTGAGAAATCAAAAAGCGAAATTCATTTTTTGCTTAACTTTTAAAATGTTAATTTTAGAAAGCTAAATAATACATACCTGAATACTGTTGGTTATAAGGAGCACAGTTTTGTCCTTTAAATGTGTTTTGATACATTTCTCAAATATTTCTTGTGCGACAACGGAATCCACCGCAGATAATGGATCATCGAGAAGGTAAATGGATTTGTCGGCATACACGCTTCTTGCAAGATTTATCCTTTGTTTCTGACCCCCACTAAATAAGTACACCAATGGCACAAATTAGCAAAATGATCACTACGTGGTGGTATTAAAGACAAGTGTTTCTGATTAACCTTAGGTTGACACCCCTTTCACCAACCAATGTCAAGTCACCATTACTGAAGGACGCAATGTCACTTCGGAGACAACAAATATCGATGACTTTATCGTACCTGTAGAGATTAAAGATCATTAATGGATTAATAGTTCTAACGAGAAAGAACAAATAATGTGGATTAGTTTTACTTTTCTTTGTTCAATGGTGACCCAAAGATAATATTCTCTTGTACCGAGTCACTATAAATCCAACTTTGCTGAGGAACAACTGCGAGGGATCCTAGATTATTTGAGTAAAAATAAAGTACTTTACCTCTCACATTTTTTTAACGCGGAGAGCTAATTAATGGTTGTCTTTACTGATGCGATAATTATGCACTTACCACGAATTAACATTTTTCCTGAGGTTTTCACCATCTACAAAGAAAATCCATTTTTGAAATAATTGAAACTTTTGCGAAAAGGGTAATCGCTTACTTCTCCCAGAATTGAAGCAATTAATGCACTTTTTCCGCTCCCAACTGCAAACAAAATTACAACTCCTTCATAATCACCTTACATACTGATAAAACGGTATGAAATAAGCTTATCTCACCCGTCCCACTAACACCAAGTAGAAATCCACGTTTGATCTCGAGATTTATATTCTCTAAACAATCTTCTAATAACATAGCTTCTGTCTTTTTGTTCTCTGGCAACATTTGTTGTTCTGGGTTAGATTCTTCATCGTCTGGATTAGGTTTTCCGTTAGTGCTTGGTTTGGAATTATTTTTGATTTTCTTGGACTTCTTTGCTTTTTTCTTTTCATCTGGGGTCTGAGATTCTTGTAGTGGATCAGATGGTTTTTCTACCTCCCAAGCGAAATTGCCATCCTTAATTGCAATCACAGCGTCATGAGCGCATTCCACGTCTTGTTCAGTTATAACTTCAAATTCGGGCAAGTCGAGAAATTTCTGTAAAAAACAGATTCTTTGTATTAAATAACGTTCACAAACAAACTTAATTTTAACTAATTTTAACAATTACCTGAAAGTTTCTAAAACATACGCTGGCTTCTCCGATAGCCCGCAATGCAAATGGAAGTCTGCAAATTCGAAAAAAGGTAGTAAGATTTTCCTAACATACTAGTTAATCTGACTTCGACTGAATTTGCTTACGTTCCAAATGTAAAGGTCATTGCGGAAAACACTGAGAATAGTGTGAATGCCTCAGCCGGAGTTAGATTATTTCCACTCAAACTACATGCAAAAATTTAAACGTTTATAGGTTTAAAACAGCCCAAGGTGATACAACATAATGCAAGTAATTGTATTTAGTACACTCACGTGAATGCAAGAAATACGGCAATTGATGCAAATATATTAATCATTGGTGTGATTGTTGCTGTTATCGATTGTAAAAATGCTGCCGTTCTCAACTGGTATTCTTCACCAGCTCGAATTTCTATTGACAAATAATGCATCGTGGTTATTCTAAGATACGTATCATATTCTTTCATACGGTATGAAAATCCTCAATTAAATAAATTATGACATCCTTAAAAACACACCTTTAACTTTCTTCAGAAAACTCTCTTCCCATCCATACATTTTGATGAGTCGAATTGAATTCATTATTTCCGTCATCAACCCGACCCGCTTGTTAGTATATCGCACAGCTTTCCTTCGAATTAGGGCAGTACGTCTAGCAATTGCTCCCATGAGCGGATAAAATAAAAATATCACAATGTTTCCAAGTATAGCCCACGGCCCCAGAACGATACACGAGTAGATTAAACAAAACAGAAACATCACGGGAGCAGCTGAACATAACATTAAACAAATGAAATGTCAACAAACTTTGCAAATATAGATTCACATTCATCATCAAGTATTTATGTGTAAACCCACCAACGGCTAAAACTCCTCCAGAAACGCACTCAAAAATTCTCTCTTGGTCATTGGTGCAAAATGTTATGGTTTTGCTGAGAATATTATCGCCACCATTTCTCAAACGGAGCATTTTATCATACGTCAAGTATTGCATGGCTCCCTCCACGCGCATTCCTGCACAATTGGTATACAATACAATTGGTATTATATTGGTATTATAAATATAACATAACTACACGAGAGAACCTCTAAAATACTTTACCAGTATGAATCCCTATCGCCCAAACTGCGGTGTATGTTAAGTTACGCAAAAACTGAGCAACTAATGCGGCTACAGCTAATGCAATTCCAATGTTGAGAGGTTGTGTAGTATCATCCTGGTAGGTTAACACGGCTTTCAAAATCCACGACTGTAAACAAAATGTAAAAAAATATACGAATAACTCACAAAACTTTCTCAATTCTTCATTATAAATTTCATCCAATTACCGGTCCCATGAACTGGAAACAAATGCTGACAATCATGAAAAATATACAAACATAAAATCTAGTCTTTCCGAACTTCCAGATGCATTTCATAAATGAAGCCTTGTCTTCTCCCACGAGAACTTTTTCATTTTGCCAAATCCGATTCAACCGTTTTGCATTCTTTTCAGCTTTATCTGCATCCTGATGACATAATAAAACCAATTATGACATTGCAAGTTAAAAGGTATTATTTATATATTTGCAATATTACGTGAAGTTCCCATAAATCGACGGGAGACAGTCCTTGTCGGAAACTTTTCCACATGATTGGCGTAAGCCAACTAAATGATACAAAAGAAAACATTCCGGCATGGCTGGAAGGAAGGTATTTATTTGTTCTACAAATAAATTTAAATCGTTTAAATTGGAGCAAAGACAAAATCTAATAATTTTATGTTCAAGTTTACGTTTCTTTTCGGAACGGCAGTAAAGTTTGAAGAGCCACCGAGTATTTTGCCCAACCTCTTGAACCATTCTGAATTTCGACATCGACATCTCCATTTCTCGGAAATGTTGACGTAGCAGATTTGCCTCTTTCAGCCCTGTATCAACAGAATTACATCGGTCGGTCCAGGTTTATTTTGTAAATCAGTCGAATTCCGGATGAATAAATTAATATTATTATTTACCTCGGCTGAATGTCTTCATCTATGTTGTTCAACATTATTTTAATTATCTAAAAGAGCTTGATCCCAAAAATTATATGCTCCTTCCTATCTCGGCAGCAGCAAATCTTTATCTTTTCTTAAAGAACTTTTTATTGAAGCCATTCATTCAGTCTTCTTGCCAACCAGAGTTTTAGAAAATCCAATATCATGAATGGTCATCCTTCCTATAACGTTGCGCGATACTTTGCAGTACCAAAATTTAGATCATCTTCTCACCTGAAAATGAAAAAAAGGACGAATCAATGAAGTACTTATTTATTTTCTAATCAATATCAGTATTTACATAATTCAATCATACACTAAGTTAAATAATCCAAACAAAGATAAAGATAATATTAGTAAGACTTCAAATATCTTACAAAAAATTGAGTGTATATAAATATAATATTCAGCGAATAAACCTGTATAGACTGACTTTGCTCGATTCTCAAGTCTAGAGACTTACTTAAATTAAAGCAGATTAAAAGTAAAAAGGATTAAATTAACTGACAACAACTTACTTAATTGAATGTTTAATATAGTGGATAAATTGACGGCTGGTTGGAATTAGAATGGCTGGAGTTCATCAACTGCACACAGACTGCTGTTGTTGTTTGAGCTGCTCTTTCCCTCCCCCTTTTTCATCACAAAAGCAAGCAAACTCTTCTCACCAAAACTATTCATGCATGAATTGGCTATAAATTAGTTGAAAATGTTTGAAAGTTTGCCCAATTATAAGAAAAACGCTTTATTAATCAAAAATATATATAAACTTTTCTCTCTCACATGGAATGACTAGCTTACTTACAATACAATTTTAATGTAATGACAATAATATCCATGTTTAAAAATTGCATACAAATCATTTGCAATAACAGTACCGTTCTAGAACAGAGGTGTCCACGCAATCAGCCGACCTCACAATTTTGTTCATTCTCAAGAGATCTGGGGTGACGGCGAAGGAATAATGATCCTTCGGTCCTGTCATTGTTTTTGTAAAATCTACCGTCGCCTCAAACAAAAACTGGCCCGGATTTGTAAAAAATGTAATAATAAAAGTTCCATTAGCCTTATCTTTGACGTTATCACTATCTTCTAGCATCACTGCCCCCGCAATAACTGTGTCCAATTCTGCTCTGGCACACTGACTGGGTAACACGCTGTTGAGATATTTCACTGCCTCTTCAGCAGCAAGGTGAATACTGGGGTCGGAAGTATCGACCTTTTTCGGTGGGATACAAGCGCAAAAATTTACTGTAATCCGGGCATCGCTGCACGTCCGATTCGGAGAGATTGGTGTCAGGAGAGATTGACCTTTAGAAAATAGAGGCAAAGATTGGTCTTCCGTGGTGTAAGAGGTGATAATGTGGCCCAGAGTTTGGTACAAGTCGTAAGGTGAGGAGAGGCGTTGAGCATTAGTTTTAAGGGTGTCCTCCCACTCTGGAAACTTTGCCTTCGCTCCGGGTGGGAGGTAGATGGAGACAATGGGAAGTTTATCCTCATACCAGCCAGGAAGCGTTTTTCGCATTGCATTGTACCGATTACCATGATCGCTTAGTATGACAAGGATGGTGTTTGAGAGGTTGACAGAGGAGAGGAAATTCGCCAGGGTTTGGTCCATCAGTTGAACTTTATTACTATCGTCGTGACCTATGGTGGTGAACCAACTGTGGAGGAAGACTGGAACGTTGGACGAGTGCGACATAACGCCACGTATGTAGGACAGGAGAGTTTCTTCCGTGGTGAAGCGGCCAACACAGGACACGTCCTATAATTTATTTGTACATTAGATTTATTACATATAAATTTTATATATTTCTGTATTATTTGAACCACCTACCGGCTGATCAACGCTGAGAAGGAATGGTCTAAAATAAAAATCCGTGGGTTGGTTCACAAATCCCAACTTCATGTGATTAAAAATCATTAATCCGGGGTAGTCCTCAACCAGAGCGGTCACATAGTTCGCAGCTTGAAATCGTTTCCAAATGTAGGGGCAGTCGTCGTGTGGAACTTTGTATGGATTTCGAATACATTCGTAAGGGACGTCGGGATCAGAAAGGTCCAATCCGGATAAAAAGGCGACAGCGTTTGGGAAAGTATTTTCGCCAACTTGAAGAAAGTGCAGGTACTACGTATTTACGTATATTTCTGATTACTAGAAAATTTGTAAACTCTTTTTTCTCACCTTTTGTGTAACCCATCAATTCCACTGCCCCATGACTATCCATGAATTCTTTTGTTTGAGGAAGAAATCGATAATAGTTCATTCTCGAGAGGGCATCAAGTCCGATCAAGACGACGCTTGGGGGCATCTCGTCTCTTTTATGCAGCCAAAACTCTCTCGTTTTTTCAGGAATTTTGGTCTCCAACATTGGAATGAAGAACGAATCACTGTACACAACCTGCTCCCAGTAAACTAACCAAGGTGAACTGCAAGTCACTCGGACAAATTCATACTCTGGGGTGGTCACTAGGTCCATTTTGACGCATGGTGACGTGTACCTAAGAACAAATATTAGAGATGTCAAATTAATTACTGAAATGAATGACGAATCTGTGAAATAATTTTGAAAACTCGTACTCCACTTGTCTATCTGCATTTCGTGAGCCAAACATATAGCTTAATTGTTTCTGACGTACAATTCCCCTGTAACAACAGTTCAAAGATGAGAGAGAATGCCCTGCATTTGTCACTGCGGTCTCATTTAGGACGATTTTCTGCAACATCAAAGTCATTATTCGCTTCTGGCAAAAAATATATCGTAAATAAATGCGTACACACCGTCCCATCCTGATAAGCCCAACCAGTCGAGTTACTATTATTATTTTTGGAGCAATCGATGGGTTTCATGTTTTTATTGAGAAATTGCTGAATGACAGAGTCCCACGGACTGAATTTCATTATTTTGCATTTTCCCGTATTAATGACGTACTCTAAATTTGTGAAATCTTTATTATCCATGAAATCTGCGAGATAATAAAGCATTTCAAAAACATCGTCTCACACAACAGCTATAATTTACACTTTTTGAATCTTACAATTCAGCCTGTCAGGAGGAATCTGTAACTTTTTCCGCTCTGCCGTTCTCATCCACTCCCTTCCATAGACGTACAACTTGGTCAATATCAGAATCGCCAACGCCAAGAGAAACACTTTCTTTATCCCGATGCGGGGAATAAGATTGCAAACTTTACTAATTTGTGCTCGACAGATTGTCATCCTGTTTAGCGTCTAATACTATCAACTCAGTATAATTGCATGTATATTTTTCACTGCCAAACAGGAGTACAGGACACACAACCAATGCCACAAATTAATCCTAAATGTAACATGTACGAGACAAGACTTTCAGTTACATCGACTTTGATGAGATAATAACGAGATAAGAATAATGACCCGATTGATAACAGGGATAAGATAATAAAGAGGATTTGTAAATATCGATCTCCTTATTGTAGATCACATTTCATTAGTTCAGTGTGAAATAAGGGATGGGTTATATTTTGTACGATTTTGCATGACCATTTCAATCTCGGCCGGAATGGATCCTAGCGTTAACTAGATACTCATAGTCAAGTAATCATGCCAAAGTTGACCCTTGCGGTGCAATCAAGTCTTTGCTTCTTGCAATAAAAGTGTGTCATAAAAGTGCCTCATTTGCATATTGTGAGTACACACACATACATATCTGTATATTGTTCAAAATAGCATAAATTTTATTAAGTAATCAACCCTGACTCGGGCTAAAAATGTAGTCTCAAAGTTTATATTATTTTTCCTATGTAATTTTTGTATCTATATAAAATCATTCACAATTATTCATATTGGTAAAAAATTACTGATTAATAGTTTAAGACGTTATTATAAAAGTTTACTTTAGTTTTAAGCACGGTATTTAATATACGAACGAATGTAAAAAAATTACTAAACATGAAAGGACAAAGGGAATTATATATATATATATGTTGCAAAGCTTATGAGCAGAGATAGGAATATATACAATGCTTCACGTAGTTTATAATGCGTCACACCTGTACTGATTTTGTGTGCATTTCTTGATTTTAATTCCATTCCTCTTCTGGGTCTGCCACGGCTCTACTCGAGGGGACGACCTTATTGATAAATCTCTCCGGTTTGGTGGGAACTGACGAGATTGGAGAGGGATCAACGTGTTCACCCGGCATGTCGATGAGAGGTTTTCGTGTTTTTGAGACGGTAGAAAAAGCTGAAGAATTTAGAGTTGATTGACAGAGTAGAGGATTCTGGAATATTTTTGACAAAAATTATTACTTTATAGACAACTTTTTTTTGTTAGAATGAATAGTTCTTAACAATCAAGTTCATCAGTAAATTACTGCAAAGTCGGTGTAAGAAGTTGACGGGGACACGACATGGCCAGTGATGGGAGGGATTGGATTGACCTGTTCTTTAGTAGCTTTTTTGGTGTTGCAGCTAGGAATCTTGCTCCCAATAATTTTCTTTGCAGATGAAGAAGGAGGGGGGCGTGACCTTGTCTCAGGCCGGGCAAAGTTACCGTCCGTCTAAAATATTTGTCAAATCAATTACAGAGCCAAATTAGAATATCTTTCGTAGATGTTCCCCGCATTCACATTCAAAATTCCAATAATTTATAATTCCAAACATGCACCCGTGCATATATTTACGTATGTAGGTTATTTATATGTACATAATTTCATGCACATCCTCTAGCCGCCGCATTCACCATGTGTTATATACAAAACCTTGTTCCATTCCAAAATATATGCAGAAAACCCAACTCCATAAAAATATTTGTAGATTGACCAACATTTTGATCCTGTGCGGCAAAAGATACTGCCAACTTATTCGCTCCTGGATTATTGTTATTGATGTATCCAAATGAGTTCATGGGATTTTTCTCATTATTAGCTACTGGGCCCCAAGAGTCCTCTAATACTTGTGCTTCGGACTCTGACGACATTTCTTTCTTTTTCGCTAAAATAAAAACGCTGCTGGCACATGATGAATTGGACGCGGACATTAAGGACGATCCTAACTTGGACGAGCCCTTCTTATTCCGTCCTAAACTTTTTCGAACCAATCTACGAGCAGCCGAGTAAATGGAGTTGTTCGTACCAGCGGGACGTTGATGTAGTGAAGTTTGGTTCATTGATGAAGCATAATATTTATTCGAGAAACCCTTTGCTCCTGAAGGCGGTTTGGCCGTAATTACTGGCCTCTGTTGAATTCAATTAGCAAAATAACGTCGTAGCAAATGGTGACATTATTGGAAAAATACGAAATGATAATAATTTCACTTTAGTAAGATTACTTCGGAGAACTTACATTGGGGACAATCAATTTTGCTGGACCATTCCGCGAGCTTGAGGAAGATATTGGGGTCGCAAACGTCCTCCCAGATGTTGGAGTTGACGGCGGAACCTTTGCCCTTTTAGGCGTCGACATGCCACTGGGAGTACCAGGACGTTTCGGAGCTCTAAATCCAGTTTGGGCCGCCATCATTGTCTTGTTGACCCCAGTCTCCTTCTTCTATGAATAAACATAATGAAACGATTGAATCATAACTGACAAATCACACAAATGCAATTAAGTAAACGTATACATAACAAGAAAATACTCACTCTCATTTCTTTCCTCTTCTCCTTTTCTTCATGGAATGATTTCCAATCTGCTTCTATCAAATCTGCGATATCTTGCCCGTACACAAGAAATGATGTCATACCATGGCCGCAATCTCTGTCTTGGCTGAATTTTGAACTCAATTGCTTCAATTCGTTCTCCAGCTTTGGGATGGCTTTCTCCAACATTTTTCTCTCTTTTTCCTCTCGAAGTAAAGCTCCGCCCCTGTTGGACAGTCTGGCTGGATCATCGGATTTCTGGTCGAGTTCACGATATTGGGAGAACATTTGTTCTCTTTTAATGACCTGATAACAATTAAAAATTAGTGGCAAGTTTTTACTAGAGAGCAATGAAGATTAAAAAATTTTTTTTGATGATATTAAACCAATTTTATACGAAGTTTAAAATAAATTACTGCTTACCCCATCAATCATTTTCTTATTTCTTTCCACAAACACTCGCCAATACTCAACTTCGCGTTCATGCACATCGAGAAGTTCTTCTGTGTACATCTCTGATGCAAAGTCAGTTTCGGTGAAATCAGTCAAACTTGCAAAGGTTGGACTAAAAAATCTGAATTGCGTATCTTCCATGAAGCATTTGGTTTTCCACAGTGCCGTCAGTTCTTCCCGTACTTGTCCAACAAAGAGAGCAATGTTCCTCTTCTTTTCTTCTTCCAAGTGTTTGAGTTCACTTCGAAGCTATACAAACAAGTATGATCCATCAACATTATTGCTAATTAATTATTAATTAATTAACCATAAGCATAATTGATTAGTGAATTTCGCTTACCCCTTGAAGAATTACAGGTTTAAAGACCATTTCCTTCTTATCCCCAATTTGACACTGGATCCCACTGTGCACCTTCTCAAATGCAAATTGGAGCTCTTCTCCCACTTTAAGACGAGACCACAACTCTCGAATTTTTTGCCAAAGACGGTCCGCCTCATTCCGATCAGTGGTTAACTCCTGATGCATTGTAGCCTCCAGTTCCTCCATTCTATGAAGTGTTGTCAAACTCAGGATTTTTATATCTGTGTTCTTGACCTCTTCGGATGAGATAACACGTTCAAATTCATTTTTGGGGATTCGCTCCAAACATTGGAACAAAGTGTTGATGATGGCCTTCAACTTTTTAAATAAGATTTGTCGTCGAAGCTTTTCTTTATGGAAGTGAGTCAATTTGTGTTCAAGTTGATGAACCTGTGAATATAAATTATAAGATTAAATCAGAAATTCACTCAATTTTAAAGGTTTCTTTTAAACGATATTATTAATTATTTTCAAGATCTTTCCTCACCTGAGCATCGGACGGAATCCCTTCAAAACTGATTTTGAAAATATCCTCGTCCATTTCCTCGCAAATAAGGACAACTTGATCATTCACTTTATTATATTTTTCCATACGGATTGCCTTCTTTTTCCTTAAATCTTCAGCTATGTTCTCATAAACTTTCTCCTGTTCCAGCAAAGTTTTATTGTGCGATTTCGCCTTGGCCTCCACACCAATGGATGGATCCATCGTCAAATCTTTCAGAAGTTGTAGGATTTCCTCATATAGATTTTCCAACTTCTTTTGACATTCACTCAGCTTTTCGCCCTCCTCCTCCAACATCTCTCCAAATAGTTGCTAAAATACAATCATATGATTAATATTAATTATTAAAAGTGATTATGATTAATTTCCTAACCTGTGTATGCTTATAGACAGCCGTTTTTCTCTTTTGTATTGACCCCGTATCATGTCCTATTTTTCGCCAGATCTCGTCCAACTTTTTCCAATTGTCATCCACTAAGTCGTGGATTTGTTTGCACTGTTTTTCCATCTTGAAAGATAATAGGTCAAAATTATTTAATTGGTGATCTAATTTTGTGCCGGAGTTACGAATAATTATGATTTATCGTTATTAAATTTAGCAGGAAGGATAGAGGGAAAGATTTGTCCGTTTTAAACCTGAGCAATAATGAGAAGTTGACGGTTGCTGAGCAAATCCCGCTCACCCCATTTCGATCTTGGGAGCATCCACGTTTGTTAAAAATTATGAATTATAGTTAGAAAATAATTAACTAATTGCAATTAGTTAATTATAATTATTTCATGATATCTAACTCGGGAAATTATAATGATTGGATGCACCCACATAACGAAAGAAACGAACAAAGGAATTTGACATTCCATGCAAATTCGGAGATGAAGATGAGTGTGTGAGGAGATGCTCATTGGAAAATGAAATATGAAAAATATGTAAATTAATTTTATTTAAAATTTTGATGATTTTATTTGAATTGTTGAATTTTTTCTTGAAATTTTGAACTGGGAAGAGATGCAGAATTATGTGGCCAAGAAGCCTCCATCGATGGGCAAAGTTATCCCATTTATCATGGAGGCTTTGTCACTTAACAAGAACAGAACTGCATTGACGACTTCAGACACCTCTGCAAGAGATTTACATACGTGTGACTTATCGTCAGATATAAATTAATTAAAAATCATTAAATATCCAACCTGCAAATCGACCCAGCGGAATTTTAGCCAGCATGGGTCCCGCCTTCACCGGGTCTGACCATCCCAACCGACCCATTTCCGTCAAAACAACGGTGGGGTTGACACAGTTGACGCGAATGTTATGCGGCCCCAGTTCCAAGGCCATGACCTTGCTTAACATATCAACAGCACCTTTGCTGGCGCAATAAGCGGCGTGGTCTTGCAGAGCCGCTTGTGAGGCCTATCATTGAATTAAACAAACAACGCACCCAATTAATCAGAAGTTCACTAAATACGTTATTTGACCCACCTGAGAAGAAACGTTAACAATTGATCCAGCAATCTTCTGCTCCACCATGCATTTTGCGACGACCTGGCTCACGTTGAAAACGGCCTTTACATTTACCTCAAATACTCTATAAGAAAGAAGGCATATTGCAATCATAATCATATCACGTCCACATTTACCTTGACCTACTTGTCAAAGGCGTCCATTTCCATGTCGAGAAAGGATGCCAGGTGTGCCACTCCTGCATTGTTGACAAGTGCATGGATGGGGAGGATTGCGGCTACTGCCTTTCTCGTCGCCTCGTGGTCAGCAAGGTCAACAGGGACAATGTTCACGGAGGGGGCTAGAGCCTTCAGAGAGTCGAGATGTGTTTTCCCTTGACTCAGGGCGAACACAGTTACCTGGAAATTGGGGTAATTTTTGTATGATTTTGACTTGATTTTTATACAAAAATTTTTAAAAAGTACCTGGGGGCATTTTGCGAGGGTGAGACAGATCTCCCGCCCGATTCCTAACATACGGAAATTTCACTTTCAGTCGTCGTCACAAGATCAAGATTTTAGAATTACAAATTGTGAATTGTCATCATTAACTCTTAATTGTGAAAGTTTAAAGTTCTGGTAAGACTTGTGATTATTTATTGCATTGTAATTAATCAAATTCAGCAGAAATTTTGGAGTACACATTAGTGAGATCATAAATTTACAATTACAAACAATTCATAATTTTATAAAATGATTTGGATTTAATTAACATTTAAAATGAGATACACTAAATAGAATTATATATCATTTAGGAACCCACCCCGTCCTCCTCCAGTGACAAGAATTCGTTTCCCAGAAAAGCTAATGTCCATATTCGAGTAATTTGTATATTTGCTTGGAAAAAACTTGTGAATCGTCCTCTCCGCCCTGCTTGCAACCTGGTTAGACTCTTGTTTTACACTGGTAAGTTAATGTTTAACTGGACAAATATTTATTTACAACTGGGAAACCTGTTTTAATATTGTGTATGTGGTAAAAGAGACAGAAACAAATGAGGTGACGCTTCTTCAAGGTCATTTTCCCAGCATCCAAACTGGTTAACATATAACCTTGTTGAATATGTCACCAATATACCATGTAGTATTCATCAATTCATCATGGAGTTCTGAGATGAGAAGTCGCATTCCTTGAGCTGATCATGTCATACATATATTAAATATTACGATTTCGCAGATAAACCAGCCTTCAAGTTGAAGTATATTCAAGAGCAAGATGCCTGTGCTATCTCTTCCAATTCCTGTCCCATTTGCTAGTCAAGTGTCACAAATAATATGCTTTCCCATCAGGATTCCCTTCCCTGCAATGAGGATTGGGTCAATTTTACCCTCTTCTGCCAGCAGTGCGCTAAAGTAAGTCAATAATTTGAGGTTATCGAATAAAGAATTTAAATTAATAAATCAACTAATTAAATTAACTAATTCTCACTCCTTTAATAGAGAATCTCTCTTGGCCCTATTCAATTTGGCATGGGCCAACAAAATTCAGCTCCCCGTACTAATAACTGTTTGCTTCCTGGCCTTGGACATCAGACTTCAGTTGGAAATCAACATATTTTGGGAACCTCCACGTAACGTTCACAGACCACCACGGGACCGAGGAGATCGAGGTCATAACCTCCATGGACAGCGAAATAATGAAGTGCATCCTTCACTTGTCGCTGCCAATCTAGTACATCGCGAACGGCAACTTCGCGCCCAGGAAAGAGTGAGAAGAACAAGGGATTTCGTTATGAGAGAAACTCCCAACTCAAGACTGTCCACGCAACCTCTCGCAGCATCAACCCCAATTAGCGATGAGAATAATGGGGAATCAGATTACTCGCCGGATGAAAGAGAACACGCTTCTTCAACAAATGTTGCAGTTGTTCGCAGGAAGCGAAGAAAGTTGTTAAAGAAGAAGGAAGTTAAAGTTCCCGTAAATTTATTATTATCCGATACGGAAGAAATCACTACTGACGATGAAAATACAGACGAAGAAGATAACGACAGTAACGAAGATACAGAGTTAAGTAGTGATGATGAAAACGATGATGATGACGACGACGACGACAATGAGGGTGGTGCTCGTCCTGGCCCTGCGTTTGGAGGATTTAATGATGATGATCACCACGACTTCTTTGGGGATCATGATGGAGATGACTATAACGAAAGTGATGATGACACGTCGGGCACACCGCTCGTCGTCGAACTTGAAATTCGACAAAGACCAGTATTCAACAATTTTTGTACTGAAATTCTTACCCAGGGAGGAATCGCATCTTCCAATTTGTTCAAATACGAAATTATGCGTGGTATGACGTCTACCACCAATGTGACAACAACCTCATCTTCGTAATCATTTTAAAAACATCCCGATAAGAAAGATCCTATATTTTGTTCATTTATTTATTTTATGTGATGTTAATTACACATGTACATATACATACTTTCGCAAATAATCCTTCCTTTAATTACTCTGTACGCTTGCTAGTCATTCTTTTTGTGACTAACTAACATATACCTTTTAATTCAGCTGAATATCAGTGATTCGTATATTTTTTGAATAACAATTAATCCTTCGTAATTTTTAAACCATCCATCCCTAAATAGTTTCTTACTTATTGTAATTCTGCACGAATAGTTTCAAAATGTAACAGGCTGTGAATGAAATACGTATACACTGGTATAAAATTATATTGTGTATTAATCAGTCAAAAGCAAATTAATTATGGTGCATCGTGTTCAGAAAGTTTTTAACTATGTAACTAAAGTATTTTGAGATATATATACGTATAGATCGATTATTTGTCAACCCACTCATCAATTATATGTGGTATGTAGAGAGTAGTAACTTATACGTAATATGTAGTCGTACCAATTTCATCAATCAATCAACTATTCAATAAAACTACATCCATACAAACGAAACGAATGCTTCATATTTGTATTTCTATTCTTCTTTCCTCACTATTTTTGTCGTAAGGATGCAATCATTCCAAGTTTGGTAGAACATGAAGCTACTTGTGGCGATTGATGTGTCCGTCCATTAGTACAATAACTCGAACGAATCAATTACGTTTTAACAGCTTTAGACATCTCAATTCTGCAAAATTTTCATCCGATCGTTTCCACTACTTCATTATATCTGTCATTTGAGTTTATTTTTAGCAAACCAGCAAAAAATGTATGTATACGTACGACAAATCCGACGATAGTAGGGAGCAAGCTGTAATTGATGTGTGGGTTTTTGCAAATTGATTCCCATAATAGAGCCATTAGTCACTCGGAGTATGTACATAGGCGGATCTTTTAATAGCTAGTTTTGCGAAATAATACCCACAGAAAAACATAGGAGTAAAATATATAACAGATTTCGCTCAACAATCAACCCACGTTTCTCAGTGGAGAGGACTTTGTTGTAATGAAATAATAATGAAACGAAATGAAACTGGAGGACATTCATAATGGAGACAGTCAAAGTAATTGTGATTCCCCCGTGGTGCGATGAATTGCTGCGGATTTACTTAAACCCACACCCAGCATTTATTAAGTAGCTTCAGCTACTTTATGTGAAGACTTTGTCTGTCTGTCTGTCTGTCTGTCTGTCTGTCCGTCTGTCTGTCAGCAGGATATCAGGAGAACGGATCGAGATAATCGAAATCGGTTTTCGCCATCATACATAGGACCCCAGGGGGAGGATCCTATCAACTTTTGGGGGCAACCGGACCACACCCCCTTTGGCAACAGGGGGTGTGGTCGGGGCAAAATGAGATTTTTAGTGCAATTTAATCTATAGGTGAAATAGAGTAAAATTATGTGTTCCGGAGTTGTGCCACACCCCCTCGGCGCCAGGGGGTGTGGTTGGGGCAAAATGAGATTTTTAGTGCAATTTAATCTATGGGTAAAATTAGGTGAAATTGAGTGAAATTAAATGAAATTAAGTGAAATTAAGTGAAATTAAGTGCTTCCCCGATTGTGCCACACCCCCTCGGCCCCAGGGGGTGTGGTTGGGGCAAAATGAGATTTTTAGTGCAATTTATTCTATGGGTAAAATTAAGTGAAATTAAGTGAAATTGAGTGTTTCCCCGATTTTGCCGCACCCCTTCGGCGCCAGCGGGTGTGGTTGGGGCAAAATGAGATTTTTAGTGCAATTTAATCTATAGGTGAAATAGAGTAAAATTATGTGTTTCGGAGTTGTGCCACACCCCCTAGGCGCCAGGGGTGTGGTTGGGGCAAAATGAGATTTTTATAAAAAATTAATCTATAGATGAAATAGAGTGAAATTAAGTGTTCCCGAGTTGTTCCACACCCCCTCGTCGCCAGGGGGTGTGGTCGGGGCAAAATGAGATTTTTACAAAAAATTAATCTATAGGTGAAATAGAGTGAAATTAAGTGTTCCCGAGTTGTGGTGGGACCGTTTGGGGTGAAGTACGTCTGAAGCTACTTCCGTATGCGCGTTTGCGACGGTTTATTTATTGCAATATTAAAAATAAGCATGCTCCACTGGAGGAAGAGAGGACTTTACTGGATGAAGGAAATTAGAATTAGTTGTATTTAATAACACGTTATTGCTTCGTGACCAAGTGGGGGATCCTGATTCCTGGTGTAAACTGTGCAGGTTATGTGTTTATATAAAAGAATATATGTTTCATTATTCGGCATGTACAAAATTCTGTAAAACTGAAACTGAAAAATTCTGTAACTTCAAAAATCTCACTATTTCTGAAGCTATTTATCTATTTAGAAGCAACACTGTCCGATTGACCAGCTCATTATGTAACAAACAAGATTATAATTGTGCATTATTATGACAAAAGGAAATGCACTTTAACAGATGCAAGTCCTGTAACAGAATTGCAAGGTAGTGCATAATGCATTACATACAAAGTGCAAGCCTTGTACGTAATAAATAAAAATATGCCATCATGACTTCGTGAGAAAGTGAAACTTTAATAAAGCGAATTCCACTAGACTCCAAAGTTAAAAAGTACACGGAAATAATGTTGTGCTGTGGACGTTATCATCATCATAAACGAGGCAAAACGACGGCAGATTTCTAATTTGTGACGATCTGACTATGCAGTGAGTCGAGTCGTCTCAAAATGCCTCACTCGATCTCATCTCGTCTCATTTCTGTCTCACAATTGTTACACTGCATTGCTTCTGGTTGCAAATTGATGACCAAAACTCTCTCCCACCCACCTCAATCTTATAATACTTCTGCTATGCATTCATCTTATTCACATGCTTTGTTCCAATTCAAATTGTAATATCATTTGACTTTGATGAAAATGTTTGAGCTGAGTCAATTCCTTGTCATGAGGCATTTTATAACAACGTAGATAAGTACTGCCTGCAATTTTATTTGCTGCTTTATCGCTTTATCTGTATCGAATAATAAAAGTGGAAATTTCCAACTATTTGGTAGTTCCATTTCATCAAGTTGATTTAAGTAAGTCGACCACATCGTAGAAGAAGTGTTATTTTAAAACCAAATCCAAGCAAGAACACAGGAAATTGCAAGGTTGGTAATCTTCTGCAGAAGAATTGTGTCATTATAAAACTACAATCTGTCGTTGTGTTATTTAACAAAACACCTTTTATAAATTAGAAACTTATTCGTGCACTAAATCTGAGAATTATAGAAAGAATTGGACCGTTGTTTAGTTAGTCGGAGTATTTTGACCAAGCGTTTTTTTTATTAGCAATCTCGCAGCTAACCCGGATAATAAGTGTTTAATCCCTTTTCGTGTAATATAATTTGTGGCTGCGAATTTTCCTCTGACATCGGACCAAGCCGGCGTGGATTGGATTGGATTCTGAGAGAATCCGTATAAAATAAGTGGTTAACGCTGAATTTGCAACAGTATGAGTGCAACGATGTGAAACCGGGTTAGTCTTAACGGGTCGTCGTCAAAGCGAATTCTCATACAAATTAGCACTACAAAAGTCTTACAATTCATTTAAATTTAGCTAGTAATACATTACATTAATGGTTTGACGAGTTTATAACATAACAGAAGAAGCCACACAATCTGAAAAAAATATATCACAAAAGAACCAGACACGACTAACCAAATAATTGAGACGCGCTCATTTCTGCGTCATCCGCACAAAGTCACGGTTATACTATTTACATTGGACAATTTTCATAGATCTCATTTACCTTCAAAGTTCCGCTGGAAGCATTCATTTCCAAAATGAAATCCCACAAAGTACTTGTGCCAAAAACTTCCCTGCTTGTAGTCATCGTACTCCTCGTTACCCTTGCAGCTAGTCAACTGATAACCAGTGGGGGTGGATCGAGATCACCCGTCGGCAAGGGTGGGGCTGAGACGCTCAGCAATAACAATGGTGTTGGTCACATGTCAATGGACGTCTCTCCGAATTGTATGTACGACTCGACGGACTTCAAAATCATGGGAGATTCGGTCGAGAGGGCGTTAAACTTTTTTGAGAATAATATCGACAAGTTGGTCCTGGATGCGGCCGTGGGGACAAGAAGTTTGCAAGGTTTTTACAGATAATCTACTTATTAATTTGAAAGTGTGCTGAATATTTAGTACAATTAGAGTAATTGTTAATCTGCAGCGCAATTGAAAGCGGTTCTTCAACGACACCCAAAACTGCCCGAGCTGGTCCAAAATTATCTCAAGTACTTGGTAGCAAAATCTGGATCGCTTAGTAATCGGATTGCAGAAGCGATATCGAACAGTCCTTCGATTTCTAGCACGGAAAAGAAGCGTAATTCTCATTCATGAATATTATTGAAAAATTTGTATGTACTCAGATATTAACAATGATTTTCTGCAGATACTTTGCCTTGGGTGACAACGGATGGTTTATGGGATTGGCCGGTTGATGGTGCATACCTCTCGCATTTAGTTATTTACTCTTACACATTAATTAGTTGACTTATCCGGAATTTTCAGGAAAATGGGAGTCAACCTCCATCATGCAATCCTACGAGCCACCCGAAGGTTTCAACGCCACGAAAATTTTAGCTCAGAGCAAAGAAACTATCGAAGAGGCGCAATCGGACGCTTGTATTTTCCAAGTTTTCAATTGTCAGTCTCAAGAAACTTCGGAAACTTGTCGAAAATTATTCTTCGTTCAGGAACAGTCCCTCTATTCTCTGACGCATCAAGTCATTTACACCCTGTTTGCTAAAAAGGTTGACACATTTATTTGTTACACCGCAATTTTACTCAAGTTTGATAAATCACAGAAAAATTATATGCAAATGTCGCCATTTTCAGAAACAATGCTTCCGAGCCTTAAGTTCGGACGGGTTGAGACGATATCAGGAAAAACTGTGTGGAAAAGTGTGGCTGGAAGCGAATGCAATCTCACAAATTGGATTTCCCCCAAATTACGCCGACCTATTCATCGAACAAGTCGCCATTTGTGGCATGACCGGCTATCCAAATTTCTTCCAGCGGGATTGGCTCATGCAAATCTTGAAATGGCAAAGCCCCCAGAAATCGGGCTGCTTCAGGGACACTCGAGCCCAACCACCCAATTCAGTCGCTATGCTGGTCAAACTGTATCACCGTAATCAGCAAAAGTTTCATGAAATGATGAATCGTCATTTTCAAGAACACAAATTGGAAAGATTACGAAACAAGGTGACATCTCGACAGAAACGGTCAGATGCATTTTTGAAGCAAGGAAATCGCGAAAATTGTTCTGTACACTTTACCGCTGTCGGTATTACGGCTTTGGCGATGCATATGAGATACTTTGTTGACACTTGTTTCCCATCGTATTAAAAATTAAGGTGTGCATGCGTATTGAGTCTGAATAAATAGTGTTAATTATTTGATCGAATAAAAGCTTAGAGTCGGCAGCATTTTTTTTTCATTTATTCATCATTTTATTTTACATTTATCTGCATTTTTGCAGTTTCATATTTAATGTTGCATAATGAAACTACATACGATTGACGAGAAATGTGACTATCGATAACGCCTATGTTACAAGTATAGATAATTAAAAATCGTTAATAACTCGCTAACTGGCTTCTGTCCACACGTGAGAGAATTGCCAGGCCCAAAAATATTGATAATTCCATTCATCTTTTATTACCACCAAAATAAACAAAGAATTATGATGTCATCATTTCTATCACAGCTTTCTACATGGTCCTTCTTTGTTTACAAAATCAAATTCCCAACCTTACTTCCAGACGATAATATGAAATTATCTCATGCATGCAACACCTGATAACTTTAAGAAAATGTGCATTTTCATTGTCAACATTACATTACAATCAGACTTTCAATGATTTCACATTCAATTAAAACATTAACAAAGTTTTTTTTAGCCAAGACGGAACTAACTTTATCTGTATGTAGATGACAGATATATGAAATGAATCTATTGTTCAATCACCTTATTGTTAGTTATCAATTATGCAATCAGCCGACATTGACTTACTTCTGGACTAATTGCATCATGATTCGACGAGATAGATTAGCCAAGGCAGCAGGCAGACACCTCACTCACTTACACATAAATATATACACACCTTAACGCATAATAATATTAGCGTAATTTATCGCACACTTTGCATGAGAGAAAACGATGAGCCAGTAACTTCACAATTTCTCATCACGCTCACTTGTTGACCACATTGCAAAGAAAAATTGCACAATGACTCCCAACTTTAAGACCATGTTTACATGGTGGAAGTCAGTTGAAGTACTTTTAACTGCAGGGAGGACTAATATATCGAGATATCCTTTAGACTTAAATGCAGATATAGCATAATGCCGCATGCAACAGTTTTTTTAGGGTGAGAGGTGATCGATTTCTAATTCAGTGTTTAGTAAATTGAGTTCTTGTCAGGATTCAACTTGCTAGATGCAATCCAGTCCAAGTCGAATTTTACATTGTTGGTTTCTTCTATTAATAATCCTGAGATTTTCGCCTTGTTTGTAATAAAATGGGTTGTTTCAAACAGCAATATTTTTATGGGTTTCTCGTCCTAATTTTATTGATTGGAAAGACGTATGAAGTGAGTTTGGAGGAAGATCTCACACTGACGTACACTCAAAAACTACTTTTGGATAAGGTAACTAAACTGGAACAATAATTTGTGTAGAGATAAATATTAGAGATTATTTTTTTTCGAATGCAAATAGTTCAAAGAAATTGTCAATCCTGCGCTAACCCATGAATATATGAAACGTGACATTTATCTGATTCGATGGCTTCGAGGTAATTTAATAAATCAAATATGCATACATTTGACATTTGATCACAGACTTGGTTATAAATACTTAAAATGCATTGATTCAAACATTTATGATAATTTCAACTGTACTTTCAGCAAGAAATTTCAATCTGATGGAAGCTGCCCAACTACTAGCTCAGGTATAAAGTAGCGGATTTTTGCATTTTCTTGACGTGTATAATTTTACATTAAAAAAAATCTTAGAATCTACGTTGGAGACAAGATGAGTCGATGGACACGATTCTCACAGAAGATTGGACGGACTATGAGAACAGATTTCCATACTATTTGGAAGGCTGTGATAAGGAGGGACGCCCAGGTACATACATGATTATGCGAATTTTGGCATTTTCAACTTTGTCAACCATGCAAAATTATCTTTAGTTGCATCCGTCGATGTTGGTTCGTGGGATGTCCGCGGTCAAATCCTGGCTGGAAAACGGGACCGAATTATTCGCTATTTCGACAAACTTATCGAGGAAATTAACACAATCGTTCGCCACGCCCAGGACCGAGGGGAAAACGTGACCCAATACACGCTTATCTTCCAAATGGGGAATTATAACTTAATCGAACAGGGATGTCCTTCGTGTAAGTGGGGGGAATCACTTGATCAAAATTTGATGTAACTAGTAATTATTTAACTATCTACATCGTTCACTTCAGGTTTACCCGTGTACTTTGCCATGTTCAACTCTTACGAGGCTCATTACACTGGAAATGTACACAAGATGATCCTAGTCAACAGTCAGTAATAGATTGAGCTTTGGTTTTTTCCTTGATCTGTATTTCCAATTAATTTAACTTTTTTTTCCATCACCTACAGCCCCACCCATATTCCAAGCTCTGCTCTCTCTGATTCGTCCCCTCCTCTCCCCACTGACCAGAGACGCTCTCTTCATCTACGGTAACAACAAGGCGGAATGGCAAAGCGTCCTTTTGGAAGAAATGATGCCAAACCAACTTGCAAAATCCTACGGTGGGAATAGAGAGCAAGGATTTGAGCCAAGAGAAGTCAGATTGTGGAAGGAGTTCAAATGTAACGTGGAACGACCGGAACTTCAAAATAGCACTTCTAGCACCACACCCTTGACGAATATCACATCACAACATTTATCGTGATTCCTTAAATAAATATGTAGTATGCATGCATTAAAATATTTACATGAGTGCTCAATTAAGCGTACATGAGTGAGGGAACCTTAATTAAGTATTATTTTATTTAGACAAGCTGACTAGAAATGGGTTGGGTTGGGTGACGCTTGCATTTATAATTGACAACGTTAAGCAAGAATTACTTGGACAGGATTGTTTGAATAAAATTATAATTCTTTATATAATTCTTCCTATAATTCATATAATTCTTCATATAATTCTTCATATAATTCCTCATAGAATTCTGCTTATAAGAATCAAGTAATATCACACGCTGACGCAGTAAATGCTACCAGACTTGATTTTATGTATGTTGTGTGGCTAGTTCGTATAACTTGCGTTGCAACTTTTTTGGTCATATATAAAGGATCGAGTAACTCAAGTTGCTGTATTTAGAAAACGGAAAGTCTATTGGAGGTGATAAACAGTTTGGTACCTTAATTTCATATTTTTGCGTAGTAAATGCATAAACTGGACAGGAAGGAAGAAATCCCAAATCCCATGGACAACCGGATACGTTAAATCCATAATATTTACCTAAGAAGTTGCTGAAGTTTAAGTTGTTTTGTGTTGGTGGCCAGTCCTGGCAGTGATATTCGCAGGGATTGGGGAAAAATCAGGAGTCGTTTTCATTGAGGATTTATGTATTACTTAAGTTGCATGGATAACAGAAGGAAGTTGCATAAATAAATAAACTATAAAAGGTGTATGTGCAGATAGATAGGTTGACTCCATATATAAAACGCGTGGATACGTGTTGTACCAAATCAGTCGACTTTTGAACATTGAATACAAATTGAAGAAACTCAAAATCATGAACAGTTTTGTGACTTTGGCCATTTTGGTGGCTTTTGGAGTTCTGGGGGTGTGTCAAGCAGTTTCGGTTCAAGAAGATGTGACCCTTACTCGCAAACAGAAAGCGGTCTTGGACCAGGTAACCAGTTAATTAAATAAATGCAATTTCTTAAGAAATTCGGAAAGTTATGTAACTTTTTGATTATTCACAGTTCAAAGAATCAGTTAAGGGACGACTTCCCCAGGAATACATGTACGAAGACATTTATCTCATTAGATGGTTGAGGGCGAAGGATTTTCGACTTAAAGATGCTGAGAACATGATTATGCAGGTATTAAAATTGAAATTTCAATACAATTTCTCCAATAACTTAACGTGGAAATCGCACTATCACTATTACTCGTTAGAACGTCGCATGGCGAAAGGAAAACCAAATGGACAACGTCTTAAAGGAAGATTGGTCCGACTTTCGCAAAGAGTACAAATACTGGATCGACGGCGTCGACAAGGAGGGACGCCCAATTCTGATTATTGACGTTGGAGAGTGGGACCTTCGCAAGGCTTCTGTGACTGGACAGGCTAAAAGGTTGGGTCGTTATATTGACTCCATTTACGAAGAAATTAACGAAAAAGTGAGGACGATGAGATTAGTCGAAGGAAAGAATGTGACACAGGTAAGGTAACCTTGTATAAGGTTATTTATAAGGATAACACTTTCAAGTAAGGTAGTAAAAACAAGTATACACTTGTAAGTAACTACTTACGTAAAATAAGTGTACTTAAACAAATGTACTTATAGCACTTTACGTACCTTACTTAGGAGGAATGCTTCCGTACTTGTCAGTAACCGATTTCGATGCCATTGGACATGTGGTAAATAGTCACACATGAGTGTACTGAAACCCTGAAGTGTTTTGACTCCATGATCACATTTGCGCCCGCCTCATCCACTCAAAGGTGCCCAAAAACGGTGAAAGTAGTGCTTTCACTCATTCAAATGCACGCCAAAAATCCAATTTTACTCGGATTTTCAAATTTCTTTCACTATTATACTCCCAGATAGTTGCTTTCTTAAATCCAACATCAAACTCAACTTTCTGAAATTTTTACTATTTTAAAATTTAAAATTCGCAATGAGCATTGTTGTAGTAATAAACAACGCAATTTATGCCTGCGAAATAATCATCAAGAAAGTTGAGCTTGATGTTGGATTTAAGAAAGTAACTATCTGGGAGTATAATAGTGAAAGAAATTTGAAAATCCGAGTAAAATTGGATTTTTGGCGTGGATTGGAATAAGTGAAAGCGCTACTTTCACCGTTTTTGGGCACCTTTGAGTGGGTGAGGCGGGCGTAAATGTGACCATGGAGTCAAAATTCTTCAGTACACTCATGGGAGACTACCACATGTCCACAAAGGCATCGAAATCAGTTACTGACAAGTACGGAAGCACTCCTCTTTAAAGCAAGTGTTATCTTATGTACATATATAAGGTTATGCACTCACGCAATAGTGCTAATTAGTATTCCTAATATTCCAATTAGTATTTCCATATTTTCGACATGGATGGGTTCAACCTCGCACAACAGGGGTGTGGCACGTGTGCGTAAAAGAGATTCACATTTCATACGTCATTTTTTAAATTCATATATTAATAAATATTTTCAATTAAATCACGTTTACAGGCATTCCTTTGGCTACTCGAGTCGTAACAACGTATGAAACTCATTATCCAGGAAATCAACACAAGACTGTCCTGGTGAACAGTAAGTTGTCCTGTTATCCTCAATGTATTTAAAATTTCAATCTAATTTCTAAAGCTAAGTACTTATTCCATCAAAACTACTACTTTTAGCTCCCGGGCCGTTCCAAACGCTTTTGCAGATTCTCAGACCCCTCATGTCCCAGAACACTCGGGACACCCAGTTCATTTACGGAAAGAAGGAGGAAGGGGCGGAAGCCCTGTTGAAGGACATTAACGCAGATCAGTTGGCCGTCGAATTTGGTGGAACCAGAGTGCTGCCGAACTACTCGTAAATAAGAGGCGACTACGAAAAAGTTATTTATTATTTATTAAGCTATTTATGTAACTACTCAGTCAGTAATTCAGCTAGTTTTGAGAGAACAAATAAAACAACCTCCTCATTAGAAAGTGTGCACATCTCATCGCATTGCACATTATCAATTTTTTATCGAGGTGCATAATAACTATCTTGAACTCCATTTTTGCTTAAAAACAACTTGTTATAACTGAATTCTTCGAGCGTTGAATACTCCAGATGCAAATTGCAGCTCGAGTATTCAAGTACTACTACTTTTAGCTTCCGGGCCGTTCCAAACACTTTTGCAAATTCTCATACCCCTGATGTCAGTTTTATTATTCGCTGGATACTATAAAAAATGTTATTCTTATCATGGCAATTGTTTGCAATATTATTAAATGACTATTCTTGGTCCCAAAAAATGTACCAAAACATCTGTAATTCTACAATCGGTATGAATAACGACATCAAAAGCTTCAAAGGTTTATCGTGTACTGCACCCGAATCGACATTTGCTGAGAGCCCTGTTCCACCCCCATTTGGTTTCGTCACCAGTAAATGATCGTTGATATTGATGAAAAATAGGAATTTATTGGGGAGATTGCACTTGTGTCCGATGCAGTGATGAGATGCACAGTACGTACTGTTTTCACATTGGTGCCCTGAAAGACACAAATTTTCAGCAACGGTTTTAACCTTGGGATACAATTTTACGACTCAACCTGCCGCAACTTTGCACGATATGAAGCCATTCGATTGTATGTACGGGGCCCATCCGGTGTCACACCGACAGCGGAAGTGTTTCTTGGGGGCTTGTTGGTACAGGCCTCTCATTTGAGCTTCGTAGTCTTCGTCCTCTTGAATCTGGGCGGAAGCGTCGTAATCGTGGAAGGCAAGATGGTCCTGGTCCGCAAAGGAGTCCTGTTGAATCTGGGCCACTCGCATGGAAAAATGGTCGGGCTGACAGGTCATGTGATCGACGGAGGAACATGCGTAAAATTGCGTGCATCTTTGACCATACGACGAGGGTCCATAACCCCTGTAATCAGCTTGCATCGACTCTATAGAAAAATTAGAGTTTATGTAATTTGGATAGTGATGTTTGTACAGGGTGAAAGTTTTTATGACGAGCTAAACCTTCATGTTTCTTTTTATGAGGTTTTGACTTTGGACGAGCTACTTCATTGGTCTGGGCACAATTTGGGTCAGTTTTACTGCATGGACAGATTTTTGGAGTTGATTTTGAACAATATGTCCCATCTTCGTTTATACATTGCAGTTGAACCTAAATGAGACAGAAGAAAGGATTAAGTGCCGTGTGCATTTCTAGATATTGATTTTACGCCATGAATTCTTACACGAGTATCGAAATACTTGGGATATGATATGCCTCCGCAATTTTGACCAGATTCTATAATATATGTTGTTTTGGAACCAACTGGTATTTTTTCGATCACACCTGAAGTCCAATACTCGCAAATTTCTAAGCAAAATTAAAGAATAAATTTAAGCACAACTTTACAGGCTGTGAGATCTTGTTAACCAAACTACCATTTCTGCACGTGAGGAATTGCCTATAATCACAAAAGCTTTTATCCGGCGGACCGGACACTAGATCCATCACACCGTCCAAAGCTGCCTGGTCATCACTCTGGTCAACATTTTCGAGATAGTTTGTGATCCGTTCGGCGTTATGGGAATTGCATGATTCGCCAAGACCTTGTGGTACAGTGGATAGATCGTTTGCCTTGTGAATCTTGTCCTTGTGATCTTTTTGAGGTTTGCTGTTTTTGCCTGATAAGCCCAAATCGTCATCGTCGTCTTGATTTAAGCCTGCCATTCCAGGATCAGAACGGAATGAGTCCCCATCGTCTTGTGGAGCAACCTTCTTGATACGTGCGTTTTCAATCTCATCGTCGTCCTTCTTTATGAATTCCAATGGTTTTAAATTAATCCCCACGTTCGACAATCTCTTGTATCTGGGGGATTCTTCGATGTCAATGTCATCCGCAAAACTATCTGCGGCATCGTCCTCTTGATCTATTTCGTCCTGTGCGTGGATGGGTCTTAGAAAAGTGATCGCGACTAGGAGTGAAAGTATGACGAGGGTGGGAAATAGGGAAGACTGCATTACAGATAGAAGAGGTGCATGCTTTATGTAATTCGTAATAGTGATGACTTTTACATTTATAAAGCGGGGGCAAGACAAATTGGCAAAAAATATGCAATTTCCGCTTTGGCGAAGGAAATTCAAAAAGTTTCATAAATGCAAAACTGAACAATTACTTGTGTTTACAGACACATTCAAGAAGAAATCACCCCTTGACAACGATGTCTGTCGATGAATTATGCATATGCAATGTAATCGTCTAAATCTCATGCAGTTTTCCCCTATCATTCCAGAACCCAGAATAAAGTGGTTGCCGAAATAATGTGAGGAAAACTGGATTTTAATATGCCCTCGCCTCTCTTATGTAGAAGATGATCATTATATGTACATATTCATCAGATACGACATGAAGCTTACTGCATAACAGATTTGTTAGTGAATGATGCTGCTTATAAGAGTACATGATTTTCAGGGTCATCATCATATTTAACGATTAAGTATATGTAGATGATGCCATACTCGTGTTGCTAGCTCGACTTGAAGGCCTAATTTTTCATCGTAAAACAAATATACAATCTGTCAACAAATTAAATTGTTTATTTAGTCGGTGTTAATAAAACAATGAATTATTCTTTTAAAGACAAAAAAATATTGGTCACTGGGGCTGGCAGAGGTTGACACATAATTTGCACACAAAAAAATAATATTTGCTGAAACATTGTTCGTATATATAACTTATCTACTTTGTGTACAGGAATCGGTCGAGATGTCGTCATAACTTTGGCTAAACAAGGCGCCACGGTGTACGCCTTGTCGAAAGATGCCGACAATTTGAAAACTCTCGTCGAACAATTCCCCTCTCTTATCAAGCCAATCCAATGCAATCTTCGGGATTGGGACGAGACGGAGAAAGTCATTGCAAACATTGAGCCGTTGGACCATTTAGTGAACAATGCGGGGGTGGCGTACAGGGAAAACTTTTTTGAGATAAAATCCGACGCTTTTGACGAGTAAGAAAAAATACTGGAGTAAACTTTTTGCAAAGATAAGAATAAAAGGATAATGTAGCGTAACACTTTTTGCAATATTTTTCAGAATATTCGACGTGAATGTCAAAGCTGTGGTAAACGTGACAAAAAATGTAGCCAAGAAAATGGTGAGCTCAGGAAAACAGGGATCGATTGTGAACGTTTCTTCCGTGGTAATAAGACATTCTGAATTATGTGTAAAATATTAGTCCAATTTTAATAATAATTTAACCACTTTATTGTGCTATTTATTATTAGTCAGCTCTTAAACAAGCACCTGGATTGTTATCCTACTGCACTTCGAAAGCAGCTGTGGACATGATCACAAAATGCAGTGCGATTGAACTTGCTCCCCACAAAATCAGGGTTAATTCGGTCAACCCCACCATCGTAATGACGGACATGGGACATGATTTATGGGACGACATAACTACGCAAGCCCTGGCCAGAATTCCTTTGAATTCATTTGCTGAAACGACTCATTGTACGAACGCTATTTTATTCCTGCTCAGTGACCTGGCTGGAATGACTACGGGAGAATTTTTTCTGGTGGATGGGGGAGTGGCTGCTAATTAATAAGGCATATATTCATATGTAATGAAAGCACACTTGTATTGAATCGGATTGTTTAAATTAATGTCCAACTAAAATTAAAGAGATTTTTAAGTTGCCGAGGAAAATATGGTAAAAGAATGTCTGAAATTTTTTGAAATATTAATATGGTGATAAAATATTAAAAGCTACGATTTGTTGAAGTATCCAATTTACCCAACCAATCGCCACAGCATGATTATTTATGACCCAAACCCTACTAAATTACTTATTTCAGACACTATTACTGGTCTTAAGAGCACGTGAATTGTAAATTAATAATGGCGTACGCAGAAAAACCAGCGTTTCTCCAGTTTTTCCAAATCGTAATAACGCGTTCACGTTCATGCATATTTAAATACGGAATCAGATTACAAAACCTCATACACTATTTATTTGCACCTTCAGATCATGCTCGCCATTAGTCTCGGCTTGGAGTCATACGCCTTCATGATTGACCGAGGCTGGAAAAAAACCTTAAATAAAAATGGCAAAGGCCGCATTTGTCCTTGGCTGATCCAAAACGTGAACGAGGAGATGTATAACTATTACAAGGCTCAACTACCAGACCAATTCAACGGAACTGACAATTCCGTCGAGAAGAGATTCTTCATGGAAAACATTAGCCGCGGATCTGGTGAAGAAACGGCAGCCATTGCCTTAATTTCGTTCTCCATTGTCCTCCTCTTGGTCCATCTCGTTTTGGCGTGCATCTCAAGGAATAATTCTTACAGGACGAAATGGGTAAAATGGTGCATCATGATATGTTTGAATCGAGTATCTAGATATGTATAAATAATTAGTTAAATGAACAATTAGACTGCGTCGGTGCAAGGAATTTCCGTTTTTGCGAGTGGATTTGCTGCAATTTTTATCGCAATCTCTTCCCACGAATATCGAAGTCTGTACCACAGTTTGAGCAGCAAACTCCTAGAATGCATCCTCTTACCGACTTGTGTTGATGACGAGTACAAAAACACGACGGTGACGAGCAAATATCTGAAACTTCAAGGTGATTTGTATACTGACTTCATAACATGTTTTTAAAATTTATTTTAATACGTATTTAATTAGGGTTTAAAAATCCTGACGAAAGTGCGGAAAAATTGAGAAATGTATTCTCCAATAACTACGTGTGTCAAGCATACGACATGAAAATTGCTTCTGCGGTATGGACATACCACGATGATTAATTTACATAAATTAGGTACTTAAAATGAGATCAACAAAGGGTTTGATTGGACTTTCTCTTTTTCGTGCTTTAGGCAATTTGTGGAGTCATGATTTTGCTCAGCTTTATAATCATTTGCAGCGCTATGGATTTGACCACAATTTACAATGAAGAGGTTAACAAAAGCTCACAATTTACCCTTTTTCAAAACCTAATGAATCCCATTGTGCGATCTTTCTGGGCATACGTAGGACGTGGATGAAGAAGAACGCAAAAGGCGACTAGCCTTCCATATGCATGCACTACACGTCAAGCGTCGCCAGCACACCAAATCTCAATCCCGTAATAGCTAAATTTCAGAATTTTACTATGTTCAAACAGTATATGCATTTTTATAATCAAACATTTAGAAATTAACATTGGAGACTCGGAAGAGATAACTGACCTGGAAAAACCCCAAGGTTTCAAGGCGATGGGGTCAAGGGCAAAATTGAAATCTAAAGCGGACGAGGATTAAACGGTCGTCGTAACAAATTGACCTTGAAAATCAGTGTTCGTTCGTGTACATTTTCAGGTTTAGTTTATTGCTGTGAAAGACAAACAACTTACTTATTCTCCTGTGATCCCAATGCAAGCCGTATCAATCTCTCTCTCTCTCACCCACTCTGCCATGACATAGAATAACAAACATTGCATTAAAGTTTGTGGTTCAAACAGCAGACTTTCTCATGGAATAATAATCTTCTTATAACATTTCCAAAACCAAAAGCGCAGATTAATTCATGTCTGCGGCAGCATATTGTTAGGAAACAAACAAATTTTGCTCTCTTTGTCCAAACACTTGTCGAATAGCGGCTCGATCTCATCAACTTTCACCTTGAGCAAATAATCACGACCAACTTTCTCTCCTGTCATTTGCTGGCTGCGTGATCAGACCGTGATTCCAATTCCAAAATTCCAATTCCACCAAATCCTACCTATGGTGCACGATAAGGAAGAAGACAAGTGTTTCTCAACTGAGATCGTGTCCAGATTCACGGCACGAAGGAAAGAAAGAAGTTGATAAATTTTGAGAGAAGAAAGCGCAGCTTTTGGTGGTCTGAATTCACAGAGAATGAGACGAGACCTAAGCAAATATCTATAAAAGAGTAGTCCTTGTTATTTTCTCTGTCCGTTGTTCTCTGTTCCGTCCTCAGAATTCTCAATTTGATGCAACATGCAGTAGTTGAATTGAGTTACGGAGAGCTCCTCTTTCTCGACCCGAAGCGCATGTGAAAGTGGATCTGACAAAATAAAAAGTCGGACGAACTGTGTCATCCTTCGTATGTTGGGCGTCCATAGGAGAAAGTTAGTCGAAACCAGCGGTGGTGGTGGTGCTGGTTGGTAGGTAGGTACATATACGGATAGAGAGAAATAAGGACGTGTAGATGAGGAAAAGCTCATTCCTCGTTCTCCTTTCTCTCCTTGAGGACATCATCATCATCATCTGCTTTCCCCAACTTTCTCCCTTTTTCGTAACGTCACGTAACTATTCCTCTTGGTGTATTTTCTGTAGGAATTTCCCAGATTAACGTTATTTTGGAAACGTGCTTCTTTTCGACGGCCTGTTAAACATACATACAACGAATCGAAAGCTTAATTAGCTTCCTGCTAGTTCTAGGTGTCTTGAAAAGGTAGACAATAATAATAATAAAACACTTTACGTAATGCCATATATTGGCTGGTAAATAAGCAAGGAAGGAAAATGGACAAAAAATATGATGGTGAGAATGAAGGATGCTGCGGAAAATGCATGTCTTGTCTCATGTGTTGCAATCTCCCAGCTTCCGCTGGAGTGAAACTTGTCTCCATTTTTTCGATCGTAAGTGACCTCATTCATTTCAAGGATATCAGATTGTAAAAAATTTATAATCTTTGATTCTTACGCAGTTGTTTGGACTCTTGTACTGCTGTCTGGGGGTGTGGACGTTGATCGTGACGTCATCAAATGGCGACCTACCTCCTCGACAACAACTCTTTTACGAAGTTTGGACCGGGTCGGAGACATCGAGTGACCCATATCAAGGGATTTATGTCACCAGCCCGAAGAAATTGGTCCCCCTGAATGCCAACTACAATTGTCTCATTGCGCTGGCATGTATCGCGCTGGCATGCGGATTTGTGAGAACTCTTTCAAGTATTTTCCTCCTCTGGAACTCGGTTGAAAAGGTGAGTCGAGCTAAAGAAAATAAGATACATACATAATGCATGACAGCACAAGGACTTTGCTCTGGACAGGCCAGATTTTATGAAAGGATATACATATTTATTTATTTTGCTTTACAGCATAGCATTCTTCCTGGAAAAGTCTGGATTTGGTTGACGACCATCGGAATGACCACCGTGGTCACGTACGTATTTCTGCTATATCTATTATTAATAATGTTAATAGACAATGCAAAGTTATTGTGGGCTTGATTTTATTTTGAAAAAATGCTCCGGATATTTATATATATATATATATATATATATATATATATATATATATATATATATATATATATATATATATTCGTATTTCTGATATATTCCAGATATACCGTCGTATTTCTGAACATCACGGGCTTCATCAGTGACACGCCTTTCTCTCCCATACGCGTTCTCAATGACAAGTTCTCCTTCTACATTCTCATCACCATCTTCCGGTTCATCTGCTTTTCGGATATCTTCTTATCCATCTACTTTGTCTTCATCGTGCTCTGGTTCGTCCGAACGCGATAAGCAAATTTATCTATCGCATGCGCAAGAAATGTAATGTTAATACGTAGAGATGAAGATGACAAGGCTTGATAAGCTGATGTTGAATTGAAGGGCTGGAATCTCAATTTATGCATTTCCTTATCACTCAATAGATAATCTCTCTCACACAAATAATGAAAACCTTGTAACATTACTCAGAATTCTTATACCTACAAAAATAATTGGATTTTCCTGCAGAATCTTAGATCTTTGCTAAATATTAGTATTAAATTTAAAATGGAATCTCAACCCTTTTATCCACTACTCAGTATTAAATATAAGACGACAATCTGTCAAGTATAATAATTATATATATGTAGACATCTTTTTCTGCATGTCCGTGTGTCGTGTCTGTTGTTGTTACAGTCGAATTAGTAATTTATGTGATCAAAAGTACATTAAATGCAATACGAGTAGGTCTTATAGATGATGATATGTGGGCTTCTTGATAAGAGGCAGTGACATACATGAATCTCTTATTGGATACTCTTACCTACGTAGAAAAATAGAGGTGAATTTAGAAACTTGAGCTTTATAAGTTTATGTTTTCGTTTCCAATTGTCCGACATAAAACAGCACAACCAGTTATTGTTAGAATTTGGTTATGACAGTGAGTGATACGAATAAATTATAGATTTATGTATGATATTGCGATGTATGTGTATACCGTAGCATTAGTGACAATACTTACATACCGAATAAAAGTATGAATACTGAAACGAGTTCCTTATATATTTTTTTATGGTGCCACTAACTTTTCCCGTTAAAAATTTACAGCAGAATCGCACACGTCTCTCATTCCAATTTGGAAAGAAAGCTATTAGAAAGTTCTAGGAACCAGGAAATAATAAAAGAAACGTATTAAATGATTCGGAACGGAGAAAGTGCCATTATCGATCTCAAGAACGAGTGATTTTGATGAGATCTGGTCTCACGGTGATTAAAGAATTTCACTGCCGAGGAATAAACTCAACTCGTAAGTAAGTAGTATAGAACAAGGGATTACAAGTGTCGTTATTGGAGAAAACTGAAAAGTGCTACGTATGTGGATGGATGGATGGAGAATTTGGAGATGGAGGAGGTCCTGATTTTATTCCTTTTAGTCGAAGTTTCCAGTAAAGGCTGTCGATCTGGAGAAAGACCTTGAAGTAAAAGAAGAAAGTGGAATGACATGACGTCTCTCTCTTCTCTTCTAAATTCGATTTGATCCGAAAAATAAAACACCATCTGATTCTGACAGGAACATGAGTAAAAAGGTGTCAATCAACCGTCGACAATTATTCCACCATTTTATAAATCAAGTACTGCGTAGGTGTTTGTACTGCTAAAGAAATGGATGTGCTTTTTTGCCTTCAATCTTCTGTCAAATCACGAGTTAATTGAGATTTATGAGAAGAATAGGAAAAATTCCCAGTTTGGTCCAACTTGTCTGTAAGGCCTGCTGGATAAATATTGTTTTCTACCTGTGTAAAAACAACTTGATTGAGACAAAATCCGAATTGAGAATTGTCACCTTTCTCACTCGTCTCTCTTTTCTCCTAAATAAATAAAATGCACTTTGCTTTCATTCTATTTTTCTTCTTTCCCCGTGATCCACAAAGTGTACATTGGGTATCTTTGTGCAAGTGAAAGTTGAGAGTGAGATAAATGTCAGGAGTGGATAAATATTAGTTTTATCAAGTTGTTGCTCAATTACGCGACCACCGAGTCAATGTTTAGTTTGGGGTAGAGGTAATTTTACGTGAAAATTATTCCACCCACACGGTCAACCTTTTTTGGTGACGTATTTCATCTCACCCTATTTACTTATTCGCCTTTTATTTATGGAATTCCGTCATTAGAGACGATTCTAAGTTCTGGCTAAAATTGTACGGAGAGAAAATTTCGTATTATCAACCATAGGAAATTGTGTGTTAACTGATTTTGTTAATGCCCATTAACATTTATTAATACCTGCGACACCTGCGAGTTGAATAAAGAGAGGGGAGCGAGTTAGTATTTACCTAAAATGCAAATATTAATTTATGCTTTGACTTCGTCTCATCCTCGCAAATATTAGCATTATCCAAAATTTCAGAGCATAAATGTTAAATTCAACACTAAAATTTGCAAAAAAATAAAGCTTTCAACTTTCACTTTGATCACTTTTATGCCTTTTGTTACCCCAAAAAAGTTGCGGGTTGCGACGCGCTTGCTGCTTTGTCAGCTTCATTTTTGGTGACGGTTGTTTGAAGTTTATTGAGTTTATTGAAGTTACTTGACAAATGTTTATGTAATTTTTCTGGTCGCCGTTATAATTGTTACTTGGTTGGATGGACCAAAGATCTGTCTGAAAACTATTTTAGATAGTTGTTTCAAACAACTTGTTTGTAGCTTTGTCGAATCAAAATAACGTTTTGCCACGAAACAATATACCGGTAAGAATTTTAAAATTAAAATTAATTCGACATAAGTTGGCATAAATGAGGTTTTAGTAAAAAAAATCTTGTTAAATGTCAAGATGCCTCCAAAGCGTAAACCCTCCAACTCGATGGATGGTGCCCTGTCGCCAAGTGCCATTTTGAATGAAGTTGGTGGTCCTTCACATTCACAGGTTCATAAAGTATTTTTATTAGGAACTCAATTCTGTTTCATGAAATAGCAGGAATATAATATTTCTACTAATTTAGATGGTGGTGGACCCTTCAGCATCCACGTTCACACATGGAGAACTTGTCTTGTGCGAATATTACGGACAAAGATACCCAGCCAAGATTTTGGAGGTGGCAACCAAACATGAGATTGATGTTATCAACGCTTCGAGACCATCCAGAGTGTGCCGTGGTTCAGAGCATTCGGTCGCAGAAGGAAATAGTGGTTTAGAAGAAAACCAAGTATTATTCTTCGTGCATTATATTAGATGGAGCCACAAGTAAGCAGTTTCATTAATTACAACATGTAAACATGACCCTCAAGTAACAATTTGGTTTGAAGGTGGAATGAGTGGGTTCCTGAGGACCGTTTATGCAAATTTGAACGGAAACCAGAATTAAAAGTAGCAATCATCAACAAAATTGCACTAAAGCTGAAGAGAAGAACACAAATTTCTCACCTAAAAAATTCTGTGAAGACACATGGATTAAAACTGAAGCCAAAAATTATTGTCAAACAAGAACCACAAAGCCCAAAAACTTCAATTGCAGATGATGTTGCACAAATTATTGTCAAACAAGAACCACAAAGTCCAAAAACTTCAATCGCAGATGATGCTGCACAAAATGTTGTCAAACGTAAAGGGAAGAAACGTTTGCACGCTATTGTTAAAGTAGAAGAAGAATCACCTCTCAAAAAATGTGTTACTGAACAAGAAGTTACTAGTACTTCACAATGTTTGGGTAATAGTAATCCCCCAACTTTAACGACCGATAACATTGCTTCCGCTACTGGAAGTTTCAAGACTCACCAATCATCTCCTGCCGCATCGACATCTCAAAATACTCAAGAAAATAAGTCAAGTCCACAAGTACTAATTAAGGAAACAGAGACACTTGTAAAAGAAGAACCCGTTTCATTTTCGGTCTCAGAGTCTTTTGAGGAACCTGAGGACCTGCACCTGACTGAAAATTTGATAAATGTGTTATTACGGGACAAAAGTAGAATTCAGCACAAAAATATGGTATACAAAATTTCATACGCCCATATATAACTAATTGATAATAAGTAATTCAATTTTATTATGTTACTGATAGTTGATAGCCGACTCGTGCGTGTCAGTGAATGATGTGCTTGTGGAATACGTCGCCTCGGTTGAACAAACTGGGGACATCTTTGCAATATCTAGAACCCAATCCTTCATCAGTGGTTTACGAATGCAGATCAACGATCATGTATCGAGTAACCTGTTGTACGAACAAGAAATACCAGTGGTTGAGAAGGTATTTAAATTACATGGCGCAATTACTGATTATTCGAGTTCATGTTATATTAGATAATTAATTAATGCCGTATATATCTTCAGAAACTGGAGCAAGGTCTTCCAGAGGATCTTGGTGCAATTTACCTGCTTCGTCTGTTGAGTAAGTGTGCTTTTACCTTGTCATAATTCAAAGACAGATCAGATCCATGGTTATGAAACTGTCATATCTGTCACTTGCATACTTGGTCAAAGTAGGAACTGGGTAGATGAGCCAAACCAGTAATTTAAGTGGTTTTGGTCTGGGGTGCAAAGTATTTTAAATGCTAAGTATTCTTTCATCAGGAGACTAACTGCGTGACCCATACTGGTTATTTAAATTGATGAGAAAAAGCTGACAGTTTGAACACTGAGTTGAGTATATGTGGGGAAGTTGAGCACAATAGATATGCAGTTTCCTAAAATAATGGTCAGGGTACCTAATAGAGGGATCCTCACTGGTTTTCGAAATAAAACGACGCGAATAAAATAACCACTTGGTTAATTATGCACTCATCGTATGGGAGTTAAAATATATTTTATTTTCAGCTATATTTGTTAAGCTACTCAAACTCGACGGATTGAAGCACAAAGGTCCTGAGGTTTGGACAGAATTGATAAACGAGAAGGTTCAATTGATTAGGTATGACAAACTCGTACATTATAATCATAAATCATATCAATATTAACTAATTGTTATTACAGATTCTTAGAGTCACGTTCAGCCCTTTACTTCCCATCTTCAACGTATACTAAATGTGCCGTCGTTGAGAAGCCTCAGTTTTAATTTTTTTACCGAATGAAACAACTTGAAATTTCCATTTTTACATTTTTTGTCTTTATAGACTTATTTTTTACGGTCTTTGTGTAGAAACATTTGATGAACTAAATACCAGTAACTGAAACGATCGCAGACAAAGATACATAAGCATCAAAAATATGTATCTCATAAGCATGCATATTTTATTTATAATTTAAATTTGTTGAAATATCAGTATTTAAATGCAGGTATTATTTATCTGGGCAAACTGTTTCTTATTAGTAGCGGTAGTGTAGTAGTAATGAAGACATGTACTATAACTTCATTTTTCTTGGGTGATGTTCCTACCTTAAAGAAATTGAATGTATTGATATTGATACATAGAATGTTCATTCATTCTTTTGTTATTTGTATTGAAACAGTAATTAAATATGCATACGAAATGAAAGCGGTTTATTTACATGTTTGTTTATTATAATACAAATGAACATTGTATTACTTCAGCCTTTCTTTTGCTTTGATATAACTACATACATATCAATAATGGTGTAAAAAAACTCATACGGACCATATGCAGGTAAATGTGCAGGACAAGGTATATAACGCTTACTTAACTCCTCAGTTAAGTAGTGGGTATATATTGTAAAGAAAGAGACGCGCATTATTTTTGGGCATTATAATAACCCGATGATAAGTTGATTAAGTTGATATAATGATGTACATACATATGTAGCTTCTTCTGGAAAAGATCTACTTGATCTTCTTGACAGTAGTGAATGGGAAGCCTTGCTGTAGAGACACGTTGAGTGACCTATATTATCCTCTGAAGGTTTTAAGAATGTATTAGTTGTACGGAATTCCATTTGAAGCTCATTGATACGCCTTAAAATTATCCACTTGGGATTTCTCTGGTTGGTGAGTGAAACCGAAATAAGAAATGGTGGTTAAAAAAATACTGATACCAATTTAAACAATTTTCCAGCTTTGCCATCCTCAAATCACAAACATCGAAATGGATTTACAACAGGACCTTGAGCAGTACAGGCAGACATGCATGATAAATATTAGAGGGGACGAAGACACGGAAATTGTCATTGAAAATTTAGACCATTGCCGTTACGTAACTGAACACAGTCTCTCTGTTAAAGATCTTTCCAGCGAGGTGGAAGCTAATTCAGGTGAAAATCCAATCATTGTTCACATGGATGATGGGGATTCGCCTTCGGAGGAGCAGGGTGGTAATCTCCAAAATGTACTCGTCAACTAAAAATGACTTAAATAATAATTTTAAAGTAAAGTAGTATATGAAACAGCTTTATTTCTTATTGTCCAGACATTCAGCAAATGCCTTACAATGTCCAATAAGAAGAAGGGGTTCTCCAAAGATAAGGATATTCCAGACCGAGACGGCTCAAGGGTGTATGATTTTGTTATGACGAAAACGCTCACTCTTCCTCCCGCACTCAGCCCAGAAGAGGTACAACGTTTACGACGTAAATGGGTCTGCATCGGCAGTCTTGCCCTCTCAACGCTCTTTCTCGTCATCATCGTCATCATCGTGCTCGTCCTAACTTCAACAAACAATTATACCAATTAATTGATTTAATGTCCTCACTACTCGTCGAATTAATGTCCCGTTAATTAATTAATAGTGACATCCGTCCTCTCTTCACTGCTTGATTGTGTTATTTTTTCCTTACAGCAAGTTTTGTTTGTTAGTTTATTAGTAGCAAAAATCGACTAGTGATTATGATTATTGTTAGAAGTTTATAAAAGTATATATATCGTTAATTTTCTATTACGTATGGCACAATTTTTCTGAATGCCATCCATACATTAATTTCAAATGACTTTTCCTACCACCATGTAACCGAAAAGGATATATAATTTGCATAAAAATTTGATTTGTTAATACATCGGTGGATTGGAGAGCAATTACTATTGTGAAACTTTATTTAGCAACAATTTTAGTACACTCTTATCTGGAAAAAAGTTAAGAAAGTTACGCTTCATCCTATGTTGGAGATTGTTGATGGCAAACGATGCCAGTAATTTGTCTCCGATTTGTGACAGCTCGGTCTCACCTACTACAATGGGAACCTTTCAAAGCCTACCATTTACTACATACAGCTACGGACATGCATGTTTTTTTAGATGATATTGAGAGAGACAACGCTGTGGGGAAAAGTAGTGTGTGGCACTTTCTTTGCTGACATATAAGGTCATTAATTATGGATTGACAAACCTCTCACTTTGCGGAATGCCGTATTATTGCAGGAGGTAGATTTCTTGCTTCCCATTATCAGTCTTAAATTCCCAATCCCAAAAATGGTTGGAGAAAACGTGCCGTCGTTTACCAACTTTTCCATTTCATACGTTAACAAAAAGTTGTAAAATGCGTAATCATAGCAGTGTCATATTTGTGCTAATTATTGTTTCATCTCATAAATTACTATCGTTTGCGGGAGGACTCACGTTCCTGGAGAAATCAGAGGAAATCGTGAACCAACTTTTACTTTGTTCGGGAGATGTCTTCCTGCATTTACCGTTCGCTCAACAAGGTATCTTTTTACACTTTTATTTTTTTAGTGTCTCAGGAATAAAGACTGATGTAAAATTGGATCATAAATGTATGTTCCAGCCGAGCTTGACGACTTATCTAAATCAATATCACAAGGATCCAGGTTTGAGTTTGCTTATTCAGAACCAAACGCGTGGATAAATTCATCTTGGGAGGTTCAAGGTTGGAGGGACAGTAACAGTACCAGCAGCAGAATGACATCTCCAAGTTGTTGGTTAATAATTGTACCAGCAACAATGGAACCGAGTACAGTTCAAATACTTAACCAGTTAATAGTCAAGGTATGCTTGTGCACATAAATACGCATTTCTTAAAATTAGAATCTTATGCAACCTTTTCTTACTTAATTAAACAATTTGACACAAAGATTTCAGCCCGTCTTCGCAAATTGTCACATCGTGTCAAGAAACCTACAATTGTCGTTGCAATTCCAAATACTCAACCACAAATTGTGACCGAGTTGCAGTCCCATCTTCTCTTCCACGATGCACAATTTTCTCTCAACACGAACGTCTTCTCGTTATTTATCAACAGTGATAGTGACGCATTCTCGTTATGGGAGGTTTATAATATAAAATTGTTGATGAAAGTGGAGAAAGTTATTGATGGGTATACTAACGGGAAAATGCTACCTTGGGTTAAATCTCCGGCTGGAAGGAGGACAAATTTTTATAATGAGAGTTTCACTGCTGTGATTCGGGTGTGGTAAAATTGTCAAATGGTAACAATTTGGCGATTTGACAGTATAATTGGAGCATATTTTTTTGCACTTTGTAAGACAAATCAACCCGACTGGATGAGGTACAAGGGATCTGCGAAGGCTGGAAATATTACTCTTACTGGTGGATTTTCTGTCGAATTATATTGGAATTTTCAAATGATGCTCAACTTTAGGTTGGTATTCTTTGCAGTAATTTAGTCATTAATTTAACCACTGATTTTTCATTGATCTGCAATAGAGTGAAAGTTGTGACAGGCGATGGTCTGACCACGCTTCCGAACAAAACGCTCGGAGGCACAACTGCTACCCATTTAAATTCTGAAACTGGGGACATTGCCCTCAGCATGTCTTCAGTCGTTCCCTTTCGGGCGTCTCAATTAACATTTTTGCAGCCGACATATCACGGAATGTATGCATCCCTTAACTGTTAGACGATTATATGTACGACCATTAATTAATTAATAATGAACTCTTTAGCATTACCTGCTTTTTCATGCAACCCACCGCTAACTCTATCCGAAACATTGTCACAGCCCCCTTTCACACATACGTCTGGTTCAGCCTGATTGGCACCTGGCTCTTTCTCATCACAGTTGTCAAGATATCTGCATTCTTGAAGTCGCATACGAACCCGACTACTCGAGAAAAAACAACCGAGACGAAACAAATTGATCCCAATGTTAATAATGACGGAGGCGGAGGAGAGTTTGAATCACACATTTTAGACTTTGGGTGGACCTTGTATGCTAGCGATTACAACAACTGGGTGAAGGACGAATTTACCACCGAGGAGAGACGAAAGGAGATCCCTGGAAGTCAAGAAACGCTCCTGGAAAAGAATAAGTGGCAATATTACGACGACTTGGACAGCGATACACGTTTCGCTTCGGAGATTGGGATGTGGGCTTTTACTGCCAATTGCCAAAAATGTATGATTTGATACCACATAATTGCATAATACAGATTAAATATTGTAAAGGGTACTGTTTGCAGCTTGGCACATCATACCAGACTCGTTACCCATGCGAATGATGTTTTTGATCGGAATCCTGTGTGGAGTCGTTTGTTTTGTGGGTTATTCGGGAGCAATAACGTCCACCCTGACTGTGAGCACACTTCCGGTGAAACAGTTTTCGGATCTTATGAAATTCAAGTTTCTATTCACTGTGCACGAGTGGAGTGAACCATTCCAGATTTTCTTGCAGGTATGTAAGTATGAATAATAAGCTAAATTTACATATACCTAGCGAAGTTTAGCACTTAATTTCAATTTCTTTGATGGTTGCGTCTAGTTGATGATAGACACACAAAGTTTAAGCCAGAAAGTGTTAAAAATCACCACTGTAGAGGAAATCAGCCATCTTTTGAATGCGAACAAGCCAATGGCATTTCTAACTTATTCTGACCTATTTTATCCCACCGCGTTGGCACTAAACTACACAGAAATTTTTATTTGCTCGCACATTTCCAAGGTTCAAGTCAGCCCTGTTTTATACAAGAGTGGAATGTTTCTTAAAAAAGGGTCAGAATATACGGAAATTTTGAATCACAAGTAAGTATTAAGCATTCCAAAGGTAAATATGTACATATGCATATACCTCTGAGTTATGTAAATTGGTAATGATTAATTAATTACAGAATAATAATCATGAAGGAGAGAGGCTTCAACCACAGGTATATTCGTACGTATGAAACAAACAACATTTTTCCATGCGGAGGCGCATCTAGCAGTACTGCAGACCCTATCGAATTTACTGATGTACTTACAGCATTTTTAGTAGCATGTTCAGGGTTGCTTGTATCTGTAACTTTATTAGGAATTGAAATCTTGTACAGTAAACTCGACAAAGTTTTCCGAGTAAAAAAACATTAAAGAAATGTAAAATAACTCAACTAATTATCAATAACAGCAAAGTTAAGGTTTTTTAAACTTATCGCCAATAGCGCAAAGTCGTGCGATGAGTCCAGTCATTTGTAGGAATGTACCCGAACCTTCGACAATCCGCATGTGAGTAATTCCAATTTCCTGTACAAAACCATTTTAGTTAACTTTTCTCGAAAATATTTGGAGTATTTCGAATTAAACACACTTACTTTCAAAAAATACAATTTCGCATGTTCTCGAAGTTCTAGATTTTTGCAAACACGGAAAATATTTGAGATAATGTCTTCCGGAGAATATCCCATTTTCCACAGGTCACTTAGCGTTTTATAAGCATCTTCAATCAACCCATCTCTACAGTTTTCTAGCATTTGTTGCACGGCGAGAGGCGATGGTTCATCACATACCTACACAGACAGTGGTAATTTTAGCAATATACGAATAAAATAGCAATTAATTGAATGACCGATTTCTTTTACCTTGAAAACGTTGTCCGGAGTAATTGTCCCGAACCCATGATAAGTTGCTTGAAGATTATTTAACGCTTGACGCATGTCTCCCTGAGAAGTGAAAACTATCGCTGCCAATCCTTCATCCGAGTAATTAATCTGTACAATATAGTTTTATAATACATCATCAGTTTGATCCCTGATTAGTTATTTTAGTAATCATCATTGTTGCTCACATTTTCAGCCACACAAACGGAATTAATTTTGGCTAAAATTTGAGCTTCACTCAATTTCCCAAAACGAATCACTGCACAACGAGACTGAATTGGTGGAATAATCTTTTCGCTCGTGTTACACGCTAATGCAAATCTGGTTGTTTGGGAGTAAAGTTCCATCGTCCGGCGAAGGGCTTGTTGAGCCCCATCAGTCATGCTGGAAATTATAAGAACCAATTATAGATCATATAATACATCCACACAGTGTCTTAAATTTAAGATGGATTACCTGTCGGCTTCATCCAAAATGATAATTTTATGCCGTCCTGGGGGCAATGACGTTTTTTGTTGTGCAAATAATTTGATCTTATTTCTCACCACGTCAATTCCTCTATCACTTGATGCGTTTAACTCCAGTACGGCGTCGCGAAAAGCATCTCCCAATAAAATCCGAGCAAGGCAAAGAATTGTGGTCGTTTTACCCACACCAGGAGGGCCCTATTAAAATACACATTAGGAATAGCTGTTAAACACCATTGCAGATTACTTTTTAATAAAATTATTACTACAATCACTACTTACGCAAAGAATCAAATTAGGCATGTTGCCATTTTGTGAGAAAATTGCCAACCTCGCAATCGTTTCATCATTTCCAACAATCTCGTCGAACGTATGAGGCCGATATTTTTCAATCCTAAAAGTCAAATCAACTATTAAGAAAGTACAAAGTATTTACTGCACATTTAATTTTAATTTTCTCACCAAGGAACGTTAGAATCATCCTTATCGTGGCTGGGGGCAGCGGTCGCTGCTTTTGCTGATGTTGTTGGCAGAGCTATCGACACATCTTTCTTAGTGTCCTTTGCTATTTTATGCTTATCGTCAATGTCATCCTCGTCGTCAATTATCATGGAACCTTCGTCGCCAGACATTATTAACAAACTTTGTTCACCTCTGTTCCAAAACCAAGATATGCGAAGACTCACTCACACCAACAAATACCTCTAAAACCGTACTTTTAAAAAGTACACAAATTTCCAGAAACTATAAATTTTTACGAACAAAAACGTCGGATGGCTGAAAGTAAACCGGACGATTTGCACAATAAAGAGAGCGCGGATGGATATTCAGCCCGCTCAGGGTTCTCAGATTCCCCACCTCCGCCAAAAAACCTGGAAAATCTCATCTTCCCATTTTATTTTCTTTGTGAGACTTCTTGCAAGAGGCAACTTGAGACTTTTGGAATGAAATGGGCAATCTGAGAAATCTCATTTTTCCGGAGAAAGTTCTATTTCTTTCATTTCGTCTCAAGATCTTGCCCAATTAGCATTTTTTGTAGAAATTCTTCCCGTAAACCAATTTTCCCCTTAAAAATTTCGTTCAAAGTTGTACACTTTGTAGGGGAGCGATTTCGTGAATGGCCCTGCAGGTGGACCCTTTTATCCATCTAGCTATGTGCAGACTTACACAGCAGCATGTCACTTGATCACAATCATCCCCCATTAACATTTCCAACTAGGATGCATTTCATGTGCATAAACCGACCACATTTTTAGTCCCGGCTCGTGCGACCCTTCATTTCTATTTACATCATCACATCACCAGTCTAGAGAGGACCCTTCCTATTTATTTATCTCCTGACTGTGCAGGCAGATGTGTCCAAATCTCCCCCATTGCATTGCATTCTCTACCCGTTCCGCTTTTGGCATATGTGCCACACATTGTATTCTCATCTCTGGTTTCCTTTACTCTCTCGTATGCGGGCACTGTATAATTTTAATCGATGAATTTTATCGATCCTGTTCCTTTTCCCCCTCTCTCGAGAAAGTCGGAGTGGAAGCTTTTCGCCGAGGCCGACATCCTTTCATTTCGGATTCGTTGCGGGCAACCTGTGACTCTCGCTTTCACCGATTTTTCGGACTTGGGCCACGGTCACGGCAGGGAAACCGAATTTTCTTCACTGGCCAACTTGGAAAGAAAGCAGTCGGAGAAATTTCCATGACTGACTGGTTGTCTCCTCACTTGGCGGAAGTGTGCTGGGTTGTGGGACGACCATGATGATGAGTGTGAGACGAGGGGTGTGGGTGCGGTTGGATGAAAGACCGAACCAGGGAAAATACCCGGGTGCTCTTGCTCCTCCATTCTCGCTCTCGCTCTCATAAAGTGTCCGGGTATTGCAAGTAACCGGCTTTGAGTAACCGGATTCGTTACCCCAGTGAGTGAGCCCATTGCTGTATGTGCACGTACATTCTACGGGTGGCTAGATGATCTCTTGTCTGTTGGTGGGTCTGCTGGTTGGGGAAAAAGGGAAGCACGGCACACGGGCTGGGGAACTGAACTATTGGGAATATATGTGGACGGAGGCTGTTCCGGTCTCATACTTCCTCCCGTGATCCGTACCGCATCCGGCTAAGTTGGGTGGAAGTGTCTCGTTTGTATGCGTTGGTGATGAGGTTTTTTTGCATTCCACACCAAAAAGGTTGGTAAATAGTTCAGGAGGTTGAGTGGAGCGTGTATGTGAGTTCAAAATATGTGCACCTATGCAGGAATGAAGCTCATGAAGGAATTGAAATGTTTACACTTACGTAATTACGAAAAATATGCACTTTGAGATATTAGTTCACTCGTAATGAATTGGAGTCTCAATTAGAGAAATTGTTACATGAGGCGTCATTCAATAATAATTCCGTATTTTGGATTGCGATCGAGATTATGTGCGTGTCCTTAATTGTCACTTTTTGTCACGAGGTCGATAATTGAATGTACATACGCCATTTCTCTTTAAGATATTTCTAGTTAATTGTCGCTATCATTGCGGAGCTGATAAATAATTCCATTGGGATGGCATCAAAACCTAAAAGCAAAGTTTTCATTTTGAAGGATAATTTAAAGTTGCCTGAGGATAATTTCGACGTAAAAAGTGGTTCAAATTTGGTTAGACATTATGTAATTCCGCTCCTCTCGATGTTCCACTGGACCCTCTTGGTTCCGCATAAAATCGCGTATAACGAGGGAAGAGGGTGCTGCGTTAAAATCAAGGGGTCGTTCTTACGAAGGGTACAAAAAACATTTTCATCAACTATATTTTCCAAAGAATAAAATCTTGATTCTGATTTTAGCTTATTTCCGGAATTGTGGACATATTTGTGTTTCTATTCCTCTTCAGATGTATAGTATTTGCTAGTAATTCGTCTGCTAGTTCTGCCCTTGGAACCGTGTACATGATCATGTACTCAACTTTTACCCTTTACGTCGTTGCCTTTTTCCATTTCGGATGGACCAAAACGGACCAGCTTGTCGACCTTTTGAATGAAATAAACAGTATGGCAGAGTACATGGGCAGGTCATTCGGGACACCTATAAAATGCAGTACTGGGGTATACATTTAATTAAATTGCATAATTTGACTGCCACTTTGCAACAAGTTTTTGCGACGAGTTTTTGCAATTTTAGGAGAAAGTCGCCATTTACATGTTCATCACTTTATGTATCATCTTCTCATTTGTGTACGCCTTGGTCACAACTGCCAAAGTACTTTGGAATTCGATACTCTTTGCATTTGCTGGGAGCGGTGGTGGATGGACAAATCTTGGCGAAATTCTGTACCAAAATGTCACCAAGCCGTCGGCTGTCATAGCTATTTCGACTTTGACGCATTTTTACGGTGACCTGGAGCCCAATCTGGATTCTGTCCCAGCACCTCTCATAATTATTTTTGGGGTAACGGAACTAGTCATTGGACTGATTGACAGCTGCTTTTGGGTGTTTATATCCTGTGCTTTATTCCTCTGGGCGAGGCTTTTCGGGAAATTGTTTGAAATTTTTTTATGCAAAGTTAAAACATGTAATTATTTGGAGAGCAACATTTTGCAGGTTCGATTATTCGAAAAAAATCACAATCAGACTGGATTATTCTATGATTGTTCTTTATATTATTAGGACATTCATGATTTTAACCGGCTCACAATTATTTTGGATAAGTTTAACGAAATATATGGTAACATCACATTTTTCGCGACGATGGCGGGTATCATTAATGGCTCCGTGACTTCCGGACGGGTCGTGTTGAACGTTGAGTGGACCTTTGCAAATAAATTTATCAGTCTTGGTGCCCTAATTCTGTTAGTTTTTGTGTTGATTGCTGGTTCGAAAGTAAATAATTTGGTACATGAAACTCTATTCATTAGGCTTATACAATTAATGAGAAAATAGGGGGAAAAATTGACGTGTTTTATGATTTGGTTATGGTCAGGCCAAGGAATACGGTACCATATTAAAACAGCAGTACACTAATCAACGAGGTTTAATTTGGGACAAAAAGGAGGCGAATTCCGAAATTTCATACGGACTGGCGATCGTTTTTCATGAAATTCAGACAAATTCTGTGGGAATGCAGGGAGCTGGATTTTTCACGATTTCATACTCTTTCATCGGAACGGTAAGCTTATCAAGAATCAAATCAAGAACCAATTGACGGATTCTTAGACTGATTTTGGGTTATATAATATTTTCAGGCTGTGAGTGCCCTGGCTACGTATACAGTTTTAATGCTACAGTGGGGTTCAGTTGATGGTAAAAACTGGTGAAAGTTTTACTCAAGATATTCTAACTATCAACTATGTAATTCATTTCACGTAAATATATTACACAAGCAATTACATAAAATGTTCCCAAATCTAATAAACTTCAAACAATATATCCGTATTGTAATATTTTTTATGCACTTAAGAAGTCGAGCCTAAATCTTAATGGATTCTCAATTGTAACACTATAACTAACAATAAATGTATCAGAGAATGGTCGCTTAATGGTTTTCTTGACATAAGGACATGATGGATGGGAGTGTCTGTCATTTCAAGTCAGTTGACCTTGTCACTTATGACTTATCCCTTTTTTAATGCATAATAAAAGAAATGGAAGAATAGTGTTTGTCAAGCCACCTGATAGACCGAGTCTCGAGTGAAGTTCCCGAATTTTCCGAGATGGTTTCAAAATCTCAATTGTTCATGTTGAGAGAACAACGAGGCCTGGACATTATGATGGACAACTTTAAATTATCCTCCAATAATCATCCCGACTTATCGAGCGAGTCTAATAATCTGGTTGGAAATTATGTCATTCCTCTCCTCTCCGTGTTTCGTTTGTCTTTGTTGTTTCCGCACAAGATCATATATGACAAGGAAAAAGGGTGCTGTGTTAAGATCAAAGGATCGATTCCTCGAAGGGTACGAAAAACGAAACGGAAAATATTCTCGGAACTTTAATACTTTCCTTTATTATAGGTAATTTCCGGATTTGTGGACATTATAGTGTTGCTTATCCTGGTCAGGGGGGCAGTATTCACTAGTGCGATTTCTGCCAGCTCGGCTCTAGGAGCACTGTACTTGATTACGTACGCAATTTTCGCAGGCTTTTCCATCAACGTATTTCATTTCGGATGGACCAAGATGGACCAAGTTGTCCAGCTTTTGAACGATATTAATAGTCTTGCAGAGTACATGGGGTCATTCGGAGCTCCGATAAAATGCAAGACTAAGGTACCTCCTATGGTCAACTATTACTTACGTTTTTCACTGTGATTACATAGAATTTCGTACTTTTTACTAGGAGAAAGTTTTCATTTATGGTTCCATCACCGTGTCCATTGTCTTCACATTTTTGTACGCCACTGTCTCAATGAGTGGTAACACGCTTTGGAATTCTATACGCTTCGCATTTGCAGAAGGTGGTGGTGGGTGGACAAATCTTGGCGAGATTTTGTACCAAAATGTGACCATGCGGTCTGCTTCGACTGCCGTGTCAACGTTCACTATGATTTACGGTGAAATGCACCCATCGCTGGATTTCTCGAGACCGGTTGTGATCATTCTTGGAATATCGGAACAAATTGCTGAAGTTTTGAACAGTTGCTTCTGGGTGTTCACATTTTGCGCGTTATTTCTCTGGGCTACACTTTTTGGGAGGCTGTTTGAAATATTTTTGTACAAAGTCAAAACTTGTAGCTATTTAGGAAATACGATTCTGCAGGTACGCAGTCAAAATAGAAACGTCCGACGCACGTTTCGCTTGATATATTATGTAATCTGGTTTGCAGGACATTCATGATTTCAACCGACTTACAATTATTTTGGACAAGTTTAATGAAATTTATGGAAACCTCACATTTTGTGGAACAATTGCGGGTATCATAAATGGTTCTGTGACGGCTGGAGAGGTCGTGTTGAATAATGAATGGACAGTGGGTGGAAAATTTATCAGTCTTGGTGCCCTTATCCCATTAATTTTTCTGTTACTAGCGGGATCGAGAGTGAACCATTTGGTATTAAAAATTTGTCTAAAATTAAGAGAAAGCATAAATTCCTAAAGTATATTTTCCGGATCAGGCGAATGAATATGGATCCGTTTTGAAACAGCAGTACACAAGTCAACGAGGTTCGCTTTGGGACAAAAAGGAGATGAATTTCCAAGTTTCATACGGACTGGCGGTCGTTTTTCATGAAATTCAGAAAAATTCTGTAGGAATTCAAGGAGGTGGATATTTTACAATTTCGTACTCTTTCATCGGAACGGTGAGCTTTGTTATCAGTGTAAATTAACTGACTTTTCATATGATTAATTTGGTCTGTATAATACTTTCAGGCTGTGAGTGCATTGGCTACGTATGCAGTTTTAATGCTACAGTGGGGTGCCGTCGATGGCAAGAAAAATTAGTGATAGCGTTATTGACTCATGTCTAGTAAAATAAAAATTTGTAACATATTTGATCGTGTAGATGCATAACATGAATACTCATAAAAATCTTCATCGCACAGCAATTTACATCTTCCACTCCGCTCTGCACATCATTGTTGTTATCGACGACACTCGAAAAATTATAAACATTTATTATATTTTCCAAAATATACGCCCATATAAATTCTATTCCTTATTGCACCCAAAATTCCACGTTTCAAAACGCATTAAAAAACAACAATATTGCTGTTCAATTTCCCCATCTTACGACACACAATTAGCATGAAGAATACTCAATCAAAGATCAATTTAGGTGATGTATAGAATTCCACAATGATGTATATGTGATGCGATGAGTATTTAATTTCAAAATAATTTTGCAGATTATCCAGGATTGGCAATACCCAACCATTCCTCAAAGAAGAAGACGTCGCTCCTCCTTCGTCAACCCATTACCACCACAACCGGAGTTATCCCCTCTTTTCCGGCCGGATATCCAGATAAGTTCTTCCCGGAACCGGTCTCATTCTCACATCGACATCCCACCAAACGGATGCTGTTTGAAGCCCAAATGATGGAACTTGCCACGACAGGTTTTCTGCAAGTCGACGATGTCACCGTTTTCTCGAGTGTTAGTAAGTTTGATAAGCTCTACGTTCTGTGTATTTATTTTTAAATTATTTTTACTACAAGATATTAAATTTCAAGGAAAAAACGCTTCATGCACAATTACCCAATCTGACGGGAAAGTTTGCATGTTAGCTCACAAAGTATTGGCGACTCATCTCCAACTTCCGCTCTACAAGGGGAATCGTACCATAATTCAGAATGGATTCGTCGTCAAGATCAAAAATCTGAACGGTGCTTGCGTCCTGACCTTTAAGAGAAAGAGTATTTACAAATCTAACGAAACGGATGTTCTCGACGTGTGGCTTGGAAATCAGGTCGTTCCCGTGGGACAGGTCAGAAAACCAGCGTTGGTCAATGAGTACACCGTGTATGGGGAACTTGGTCATCCCGCTTTCGTAATTCATAAAGCTCGACGCATGACGGATCCGAGTAATAATTCATAAGCCATGATTTTTCAAAGAATTTTCACTAGCAATTTGTGGCGTTTTTTGCAGAAGATTTAAAGAAAAATTACAAATATATCATCCACACGGCAAAAGACAAGGAAATTGTCGGCCAAGTTAATTGTAACGGGAGGAAGGGGTTTGGTCCGATTGTGACGAGTGGCGAGTATCCGTGTCATGTCGAATTTCGGAGTGAAATGACCATCACGGAGAAATCGCTTCTCATGGGAGCTCTATTTTTAATTGTATTAAAATTTAACCAAGCAAATATTTAAATTTAATTATATTTAATTGCTCAATTTGATATCAAGTTAAATGTTCCAGGCGTCCCGATCGCATTCCGGGATTGAACGGGAGGAAGAGAAACTACGGGAAAAGCTCGACATCGACCCTGACGAAGTCCTTCCTCCCCAAAGTGTCGTTGTCGAGAAGGGCTTGTGTCCGGTTGGAGGAGGAGCGACTAGTAGTAATATTACTTGATTAATTTGCATGACAAATTCCCAACAGCAGGAAGTGTCGACGTGTCAAAATCCAAAATTAACCTAGTAATTAATCATCTATGCAAGAAATTGTTATTTTAAGAGACTATTCTGTAACAATGTGCGAATGGATGGAATAAGAACTGTGACTGCAGATGTCAGCTTCAGCTGAAATTATGAAATTATCGATCTTTATCATTTCGCAAATGACGCTGCTCAGAATCTGAGGATGAGTACGAGATATGTATCATGACAGATTATTGAACTAACAAATCATGGGTGACAAAATAAAATCCCCAGGCTTCCCAACGCTTAAAGATTAAAATTTAAGTTAATTTAAATTAATTTAAATTGATCCAATAGTTAATTATGTGAATCCATCATTAATTTCTCTGACAACGAGTGTTCGAAGTCTTTCAAAATTCATCAACATTCAAAATGTTGTTCATAAATTTTTCTTCGTGTCTAAAATTTTATTCCACTTTCCACTCCAACCTTTTTGTCACATTTTTGTAAATCAATTGTTTAAAAATCTCCCCTAAGGTTAACCATCACAATTATTTATAATCCTCGCAATGGCGGTGAGTTGCACAAACGGGACGCCTTCCCCGCATCACATCCCCGGTTATGATGGTTTTGTACCTGGTCACTTGGCCACCATCGGTCGGACCTATGCTAAAGGGACGCACGATGTTCTTCGGACACTCGGACTGGCCGGTGTGAAGGACAAACCTTGCACGAAGTCTTGTCGGAGTGGCGATCCATGCGCGGTATGTTGTATATTTCATAAAAATGTCCTTATTTTGCATTTTTGATGACATGAAAAATTTTGAAAAATTTTGAAAAATGCACAGGATCACTGGAGAGATTTGAGGGCAAGGATGCACATGGTGCAGGGAGAAATTGATCCAAATCCTTGTCAGGTACTTTAATTACAATAACTTCCAGAGTTTAGTGATTCTAAAATGATGTTCTTATTCAGGGAACCGACTGGAACATCCGGAATAAGTTTTGTGTTCAGAAACCCCAAAACCTCTGCGAGCCGAAACTAAAGAAAATGAACCAACACGGCTACCTTTCCAGATTGTCCGTCTACCAGAAGAAGAATGGCGACGCCTTTGGGGTCACTTCCTGCAAAGCGGATAACACTTTTCCCTGCAAAGCAGCAGCTCCGTCCAACAGACCGTTTTGGCGAGAGTATGAAGATCTCACGAATTATGACCCGTTCAAGGTATTCACTATTTACTGTAAATTAACTTATTATATGTAAGTGCACGTTTTGAACTAAACTTTTTGAACTAATGTAGGAGTATGAGCCGGAATGTAGACATGTTCGCCTCCCAAAATTAAAGTATAAAGCGGAAACTTGCTGGGATGAGGACTTTTATTTACCGGTTGACGCTTACGAAGACTACTGTCGTGAAAGTGAGTGGACAATTTTCTTGTGTGTAGAGAGTAGAAATTTAATCTATTTTAATTTCAGAGTACGTTTGTCCCCCGAAAAAGTGTGAATGTCTTCCTCTCGATGCAAGGAAGCCGGACAATGAGGTCAAATTCTATCGCCATGAGCAGGACCCAGAGCTATTCGTCGCACCTTATTTTGCTGACCCTACGAACAAGTATAGATATTTCAAGACTGGTTTTACGGGGCATGTTCCAACCTACAAGGTAATTAAAATTTGAAAATTAATTATTAGTTATTAAAATAACGTATTTAACACATTGTCAGTACCGATTTGGCGAACCGTATGAGCAAAGTACGAGGAAGGCGTTGAACAAGTGGACCTCGAGATACATGACGGATCATCTGAAGGCCAAGTGTCCCGTTTGGATTGATCCTGAACAGTATTGCGACAAGAATGACTACTTCAAGTGAGACAAATTATGACTACGTTAACAGAATTTATTTATTCAATAATTAATTGCTAATTATTGTGCAGGATGAGCTGTAAACCACGCAAAACTTATGACGGTCATTTCCACGAGAAGAGAATTCGAGATCGCTTGAAGCCTATCTTTAATCCTAAAGATTGCATTCCTCCGTACACCAACGACCCGATAGCTCTGTGTATCCAGTCCAACAATCCAACTTCAAAAGATATTTGCTAGATAACTCAGTCACCTCTTATCTTAAGGGTGTCAAAATTATATAGTCGTTAATAATCAGACAAAGTCGAATCTAATGTAAAATTATGGCACAAATTGAAAACAAATAAATTCTTGTATCTCTCAAATAACGTCTAAATTTGAGTGCGTTAGCATTTTATTATTGAAATATTGTTTGTTATATTTTTAGTGTATCAGTCTGGATTGTATGACCATTTCCTCTTCATAATGCGGCGCCACAGTTCATCTCGTAACAGTTTCCTCTCCTTATCCGTTTTGCCTCCTAAAACGCCACGATTTTCCAACGCTCTTCGCGACAAGTAGGGCAAGACTTTCAGAATGGGGCCATATGGGACATATTTGTAAACGGAATATCTCGATTGACCTAGAAATTAATTGCTATTTGTAGCATTACAAAAATTTTGAAAAAATGATAAACATGTGCACGTGTGTACCCAAAGGAAAAGATATTTGGTCACACATTCCATACAATTGGCCAAAGCAGACGGAATGCTCATCTCGAGCAATGTCATACTCTTTCATTCTAAAATGAGAATGATATTAAAGTTGCAACTAAATAAAAATTGTGAAAAGTTGACCCAACCTTCGAAGTACGAATCGAACCGTGTCCTCATTATGGGTGGCTGCCATGACCTTAATCCTTCCTGGAGAGACCGACTCTTTGCTAGATTTTATCCTCCAGAGACATTCGTCCATACACTTCTCGTACATTTCGGTCGTGCTGGCATAAGTTGAGTTTATCGGATCGTCGTAACCCATACTGTTCGCTCGTTGTCGTTCCTGCCGTGAAAAATTAGACAAGAATTCGTCAAATTGGAGCTCACACTATTTACATAATATTTGTGTACCTGTTCCATATACGCTCCACGCACGAGTTTGGCCCCAAAGTAAAATTTTTGACGTTCAGCCTGGTTCAAATCCGTGACCTACGTAATCGTGCAAATTTTCATTGCGAAAAATCTGCGTATTCTTACCACAGAATTAATTTGAAAAATTTCTCAAAGGCTACCAAGTCATGAAACGCTCTTTTCAGGTAGCACTGATACGTATTGTACACCATGGGCTTTTCCACATTGTAAATCTTCATCATTTCTATCGTCACTCGAGAAATGGCTACTTGCAAGTAGGTCTGCTCGGCGTCCACCATGACGCGTACATTGGATGCTGCTGCTGCCTATAAAAATAGCAAGATTGTAATTCACATTTACAATTTTAGGAAATATGAAATATTTCAGAGAACCTTAAAAATTGTGTGGAAACGATCCAGAGCATTTTTAAATTCCTGAATCTCATCGTCAGAAATCGGTACAATTTTTTCTAAATCTCCCGTCGGAAAATTCGGGATTCGAAAAGCCGTTCGTACACATTTCTTAGCATTTAGAAGAGATTTCCAGGGTACTAAATTGATAATTCTGCCGTACACCGTAAGCCGTAAGTTGTTAGAAAAGTTTTTTGCAGTGTATTTTCCTTCATTACTAAAACATCCAGCACTAATTATAATATTATTTAATTGTACCCAGCACTATCTGAATCCATATCATCCAACCAGGCTTGGAATGCAGGATCTGCTTTCGCCGCTTTCGAGAACCTCTTTTTTAGCGTGTCGATATTAATTTGTTGGTTATTCACGGCATCGTTGACACCGGTCAAGCGTTCTATGAAGACATGGATCCTTTCGATCGCCTCAGAAATTCTGAGCTATTTTACATAATCAGTAATCAGTAACAAAAAAATGACTACATAATAATCACTATTTGGTATACCAAAAGTTGTGGTTTGCAAATAGCTGTAGCTTTAATAGCAGCAAATCCTGTACCATCAGTGGCTCCTACATATAATTTCATATAGTTAATTACCTACGCATCTTTATGTCAATGTTTTTAATAAAATATCCAACCTTCCACAGCTTTGATGGAATTGAGAAAAATCTGTGTATTCTTATCACAAGAAGCTTCATTGTAATACGTGTAAACTCGACTGATGGCTCGCTTTTTTCTTTCAGTTGCGCACGTATTACTGCCATTGTATTTTTTAAGCCCTTTAATAAATTGGGTGACAATTAGAACCTTTTATGCAGTGAAAGTTGATTAACCAAAATATTACCTTTCTCTTCGCCAACAACATCAGAACCTTTCTGGTCAGGTCTGAGAACAAATCATGTCATGAAATACCGCATATTTACATATGTACGTGATATTTTTCGTTAGTTTTTAACAAACGTGGCCACAGTTTGGCTTCCGGTCTGTTGTTCCTCTCCTTCGGGGACATCATCCTCCGCAGAATAATCCAAAATTGCATTTACTCCAAATTTTCGCATCCGTCTAATTTTTGGAGCAATCTCATGCTGATCTTCTCCGGCTACAAAATGACCAAAGAATGTGGCTTTCATCAACATTTTGAACAGCCTTTCTCCCAGGATTCGCCTTCCCCAATGTATGAGCTAGATATACAAATATGATAACACCATTTCTTATCATCATAAATTCGTAAAGTTAGCATCTCCTCCCCCCACCTTAGTTTGATTATCGGCAACATAGTTGATGTTAAGCAGCTGAAAAACAAAAAGTGCTCGGATAATTTCTCCCGTTGTTTTCGACTTGTACGCCTCCTCCGAGCTGTTAAAGGTCTCATCCAATTTAGGAAATTTTTCAGAGTCCGAATAAGGTTGAGAAAAATGGGACGATGTTTGAAATCTATGGACGGATATCCTGTTTAAAGTAGGAATCATTTTAGGTGAAAGTAAAAGAGAAAGCATTCGTGACGTCGGCATTTTTAGAGATGACATGACTAATTAACTATTAAATTTAACTGTACTATAATACGCATTTAAATAATCAAGTAGTAGAGATTGATAAGAATTTATAGTGGCAAAAGAATGATAACCTTAGCAATTTGGGACAAAAATTTCATGCAAAAGAGGTGAAATTGAGAAATTCTACGAAATTGTGAGACTTTGATGCCATAATTTCTCTCTCTGCCCCTCGGCCGTATGTGAAGCAAGTAAGTAAAATCAATGAACATTGCATGTTAGTTGCTGCTGCTCGCTCCTAGTTTTTGTGGTGTGGTGGATTTTTGGTCAGTTGATGATTTCCTTATCAATCTGCCAATAATCTATTGTTTGTGAAGTAATGGAAGGAATGACATTTGTGTAGTTAACTAATATTTGGAAATATTTATCCTTTCGTGTTATAATTATTGAACGGGGGGAGTCAAATTCTAGTCAAATTTCATAAATCGGTGGTGTAGTTCAATTTTTTTTTAAATTTGATCTATTTAAAAAGTAGGAGGATTATTGAAGTTGACATTTGTGGTGAAAATCAATTATTTGGAACGTAAATTAAATTTTGTCAGTAGGTCGTACGATTACTTAATTCATGTTAAAATACCCACAAGATTTCATCATTAATTTGTGAAGACTGCTAAAAATAGCATTTGTTGACATAAATTAGAAGACGAGTGACGAGAGGAAGTGTACAAACGTTTAGTTCTAATTGGACACTGTTTTATATAAAAATAGAGTAAAAATGGAAGCCCTGATTCCTGTTATCAATAAATTGCAAGATGTTTTCAACACTATTGGATCCGAATCAATTCAGTTACCTCAGATTGTGGTGGTTGGAACTCAGGTTGATAATGCAATAATTTAATAGTAAAATAAGACAAGGGCTAGTTAATTAATCACTAAACTGTTTAATTAATTTCAGAGTTCCGGTAAAAGTTCCGTCCTCGAGTCGTTGGTCGGGCGTTCATTTCTTCCTAGAGGTACAGGGACGGTGACGAGATGTCCGACAGTACTTCAATTAATTTATAGTCCAAAGGAGGATCGAGAATATAGAACTGCACGCGATGGTTAGTAGTGTAGTGTATAAAAATTGGCTGACCTTTGTATAATGCTAATTAATTTTTAAATGTACAGGAACACTTGAAGCTGACGAATGGTGCAAGTTTCTCCACAAACCGGACAAAGTGTTCACAGATTTTGAACTAGTTAGAGAAGAAATTGAACGGGAGACAGACCGAAAGGCAGGAAACAATAAGGGAATTTGCGCCGAGCCAATTAACCTCAAAGTGTACTCGACTAAAGTCGTCAATCTTACTGTGGTCGATTTACCCGGAATTGTCAAAGTGGCTGCTGGAGATCAACCTGAAGACATTGAGGCACAAATCAACGAACTAATTTTACAGTACATCAAGAATCCAAACTGTATAATTTTGGCCGTTTCGCCAGCTAATAATGACATGGCCACATCAGAAAGTTTAAAATTGGCGAAAGATGTGGATCCTGAAGGGAGAAGAACACTCGCCGTAATTACAAAGCTAGATTTGATGGATGCTGGAACGGATGCAGTCGATGTACTTTGCGGTCGCGTAGTTCCCGTCAAATTGGGAATTTTGGGGGTTGTCAACCGATCTCAGTTGGACATACAAAATAATAAATCTATCGACGACGCTTTGAAAGATGAAGCTGCCTTTTTGCAACGCAAGTATCCCACTCTGGCGTCAAGAAATGGGACGCCATATCTGGCCAAGACACTTAATCGACTTTTGATGCATCACATTCGGGACTGTTTACCAGAACTGAAGGTAGTTAAAGAAATAACGAAATTTTTGTCAATTTATAATAATTGTTTGCATTGGATATTTCTCAGACTCGTGTAAATGTGATGATTTCTCAATTTCAAACCATGATGCAATCTTATGGGGAAGATGTTAGAGATAAATCGTGAGTTTTAATTTTTGATTATTTTTATTTCAAATAATATTCATGTTGTAGATTGCCTTTGTAATTTATATTTGTTCCTCCTCTTTTCGTTCTTAACTGCCAACCTCACTGGGTCATTTTGGACCGCATCCCTGAATTTTTTTTGTGCTTTCAAATGGGATGCCTTAAAATTCGGCGTATCTTTACGGGCTGGTTCAATCCTTGCACTATTGAGTTTGGTTTTTTTTAGGATATCCCTTGTGTCATACTTTTCCTTGTTTTGATTTTTTTGAAGCCCCATTGGGATAAAATAATCATTTAAATCGTATTTTTTTACAAATTTTTACAGGCAAACTTTGTTGCAAATCATAACGAAATTTGCTTCTGCATATAACTGTACAATAAATGGGACAGCGAGGAACATTGAGACTACAGAGCTCTGCGGGGGTGCCAGGATTTGCTACATTTTCCATGAAACCTTCGGAGCGACGTTACAATCTATCGATCCGATAAGTGGACTTAGCAAGCTGGATATTCTCACGGCTATTCGGAATGCTACGGGGCCAAGACCTGCACTTTTTGTGCCTGAGGTATGGCAGAAGCGATAGTTGTTTGTTTGAAATTGATTGTAGTAAAATAACTTGAAATATAAATGATTTCTTGTAAGGTCACATTCGAGCTGCTGGTGAAAAGGCAAATTCGCCGTCTGGAGGAACCTTCCCTCCGATGTGTGGAACTCGTACATGAAGAAATGCAACGAATAATCCAGCATTGCGGGACAGAAATTCAACAAGAAATGTTACGATTTCCTAAAGTTCATGAGAGTATAATTGACGTTGTGACACAATTACTAAGGACCCGACTTCCAAGGACAAATGACATGGTTGAAAATCTCGTAGCGATAGAGTTAGCTTATGTGAACACGAAACATCCCGATTTTCATCGCGAAACAGACGTTCTTCTTCGCTCTTCAGATACTCACAATAGCCATTTCCATGAACAAGAGAAACGGCGAATGCAGCGACAGCAGATGCAAACTTCTGGGATGATTCCAGTTTCGAGTATGAATGGCGGTGGGGAGCAGGATCCTCAAGCTCCCATGAAAGTAAGTCAAGTCGAATTCAGCCTAGTCCCGTTACTGCTTATTAAAATTAATTGAAGCACAAAGCCATATATTTAGATATATACATTGATATAATGCCTTCCATTTTACCGATATTTATGATGAATTTCAATTCATAAATATTTTTCAAACTGCTTTTTGCTTCAACTAATAACAATCTATAGTCGTGCCGTTGTAGTAAAGTTGTAATGATAGTAATTGTCGCATCCTGGTGGATGTTTTGAGCAGACTTGGTTCGGCAATGTTCTTATGAATGCCAAAAGTTCTGTTGAAAACTCCCCAATGCACTCTCAAACACCGAATACTCCCATCCAGTCTCAAGCACTAACCCCTGCGATGGCCGGTATGAATATGAATAACGTCGTCACCAACGGACCACGACCTCATGATGGGAGTGGAGATCCGAGCAAATCGCCGAAAAAGCAAGTTGTGAATTTGACCTCGGCTGTAGATGCAGACTCAGCCGGGTATCAACTATCTGAGAAGGAACAGCGAGACTGTAAAATTATCGAGAAGCTGATTAAATCGTACTTTTTTATTGTGAGGAAATCCATTCAAGACACTGTCCCGAAAGCAATCATGCACTTCTTGGTGAATTATGTGCAGGACAATCTTCAATCTGAATTGGTGAGTTGATTGTTTTGTTATGGTGGAAAAATGGATTATTAGATGAAATATTTTTGCTTTACTTTTTACAGGTGAGTCAATTGTACAAACAAGATAGAATTGACGGTCTCTTGGCAGAGTCGGAACATATAGCGCAAAGGAGAAAGGAAGCCGCAGACATGCTCAAGGTATGAATGTAATTTTATGCATTCATCTGTGAAAAAGTGGTTCCTGTTGTTGCAGTTTGTATATAATATTTGAATATTTTATTTGTAGGCATTACAACGAGCAAGTTTAATTATTAGTGAAATCCGGGAAACGCACATGTGGTGAAGAATCATTCGAGTATTGGTGATAGTTCGTAGCGTGTTAATACAAAATTTCCTAAGAATAGTCAGTCATCCGGTTAAGCGTAGTCAAAAAATTTATTTCAAATTAGTTGTAAATCTGAATATTTGATCATTTACTATTATGATATTCCAACCTATTTATGTCGTCGTGTGATATAGATTTTTAATTATTAATCTAAATAGCACTCGTAGTTCTATTTAATAGAAATGTAGTAACGCAAATTTTCGAAAATGTGTATTAGGAGATTGAAAATTGGTGTGAATACAAATAAACTAATACAATTTCACTATATGCATTTGTAGCAATGAACTGGTTTGTTAGGTTATGCGTGCAAGTTATGCGTTGTGGATAGAGAAAACCTGTACGAAATTACTGGTAATGTTTACAAAAAGGGTGGTTATGTATTAGACTTTTTTTGTTTCGTACGAAACGAATCAAACATCAGAAGAGATTGACTGTATTTATTACATAAACTATTCCACAATATGTGCATATGTATGTCGTTCTTCTAAGATTGGATTTGAGTTCAAGTTAAATTTTGCCAAAAATACATATATACATACAACAAATATATTGTAGTCACTGATGAACAATTAACTTGTAATGGTTTCTTAGTACTTACATACAAATATATGCTCGTAAATATACATGCTACACTCAAGAAATGTACAAGAAATGTAATAAATAAATTTTCTTGTTTCGCTTACAATTTGATTTTTAAGAAATTATTCTTTACATCTTTATTCACTTGAAGTTGTATCGCGTTACATAATAATGAAACTTAATACATACGCGAGTATAACGCTAACCAGTAGTCATTCGGTCATTTATACAATTTAATAAGCTAGATATTTATGATGTATGTATGATGGGAATGAGTGATGTGCAATTTAGGCATTTATTAGTTTGCTGGTTATAAATACATACGTAATATTGTGGTTGAACAATGTACTTAAATTGGTTTAAAATTGGCTGGATTTTTTATGGATTTTTTTTTCATAATTATAATTGGGACAAGTTTTCTAACTTTTTATTTATTTAGTACCCGACATTAGAGCTCAGTTTTTTTAAACTATAAATATTGAGAGTTGAATGAAGAGCATAATATAATTTTTAAATATATATTTCCTCAAGTATACAGACTGCACTATTTACATAAGTATCGGCAGCTAGTAGCTTATCATGCACCCACTTGCCTTTATCATGTATAAAATTTATATGTTGCATGGAATATTGTACCTTAATTAATTAAGTAATAACAAGTAATAATAATAATAAGCTACTGTCCATTATTCCCCGGTTTGATTATTATTGAAAATTGGAATATATTGGTACACAGAAAAAAGCAAACCGAGATTTCCTTATCGTACAGAATTTTTTCTCCTCTGATAAGCACCTCACCACCCATTTAATTGTGTTTGCCAAGTGGAAATGGCAGAATTTATTTATTTTTGTCATTCAACCTTGTATAAAGCTTCCTAATAATTTCGGATAATCAATTATCATTGTATTGCATATTAGTAAGTTATTCACATATTTAAATATGTATATGCTCGTCTGTAGTAACTTACATTACATAACGTCCAAATTTTGCATAAAGTTTTAGTGTAAAGATGTAAGCTTGTTTTGCAAGGCCATCATAGTAGTTGAATATTTTTTTGCGGTCAATTCCATATTTATTAAGCAAAAAACAAAAAAGGTTGAGATTATTTTACACTATTTTTTTTATTGGGCGGCGATAACTACACTGTTTATCTAATTCGTGATTAGAATGAGTCCTGTATAGCTTTTCGATTTAATAAGAGGAAGAAAAATGCGGAACTACCAATGTGATTTCGCTCTGCTTTCACCGTCAATTTCGTATTTTTTGCCTAATAAATTCAAATCCAGTAAATAAATGATAAGATGAATGAATCCTGCAAGTAATTAATTGGTTGATTTTCTTTTATGGTGGGTGGATTTTAGATATTTATTATTTTACAGATTTTGATCTTGGTTGTTTTTTTATAATTAATCGATTAATACTTCTAAATTATTTCCTCTCCTCTCTCTCACTCGGTTAATTAATTGTAGCATATTTTTTGTTGCATGTATGTATGGAACCTTTCACTTTATACGATTGCTTATTACGAGCGTGAAAGAGGAAGCGAGATTTTGGGATGAATTGAGTCCGAATAGTCATGATACGGATGGAGATGGACTGGAGAGGAGAGGAGATGAGTGCCTGCGACTAGTGAGGTTATCATTGATAAGCAGAGGATGAGGGTGAAACTGTGGAAGGAAATTGACGCCTCGTTGCACAAATTGCTTTCACAAAAACACATTTTTCCATGTCCCTTCCCCTCCCCCATGCATACCTGGAAGCAAAATAATTATTCGTCACTTGGTCAACAATTAGTCGAAAAATTATGAAAAACCTACGTGGTCCACCATGAAGTAGTTTATTATTATGTTTTCGGTACAGGAACGTTGCACCCACTCCCCTGCAAGAAAAGCACAAAAATACGGCATTTTAGCACTTGATGTCCAAAAAAAATGGGTCAACTTTCTCTCTGACTTATGCAGTATATCGTACCGTCTGGAAATCGATGGACAAATTTGACGCAACATCCATGACAAACTTTGGTCATGGGACGGAGTTCTTGTGGAAGTGTGTAATTGAAGGGGTCTCCACAGTACGGATCGTACCGACTGTCACAGTCGTAGCATAGTAACCTTTGACCTGCATTAGGAGAAAGCATTTGTTAGTTTCATTTCATTTTTTTGGTAATCGTGCTAGAACACAAAGCATTTAATTAACAGTTTATCGTTAAAAAACTTGTCATTATAGATATTTTAGGATGCAAAAGTGTACAATAATATGCTTTCTCTCTGGTGGAAATATTTATTTCTATATAAAAATCTGAACTACAACTGCTAAATATTTTCTGCGACTACAATTCTAGTTCGTTGTTTGGGTCTCACGGAAGAAATCGGTCGTTAATAAGGTCTGAAACTTTTATAGAAACATGGATTCTCGTCTATTTGTATCCAATATGTCCAGGATGTCGTCCACTTTTTTTGCCAACATTTTTTTTCTCTAGACTGCCACCACTAATACTATTCTGTTTGCAGTATATAACACTAATAATAATAACGTCGAGCACGTTGCTTGCTCACTACTGCGGATGTGCCAAACTGATTGGAGATGACTAGATTTTTTGGCAAAAGTTTTTTTTTCACCGACTCCATACGTACAATACGATAAAAGTTATGGACATTATCGTTATTGCGAACTTTCTACTTTCTGAGCACAATTTTTTTATCGTATCGTCGGCTAAAACGTGACTCGAGTGTAATTTCACCCATTTCACGGAAGAAAGACGGAGACACAGACAGAGAAAGAGAAAAAAAGTAGAAAGAGAAAGCTAAATTTAGATAATGATCGATTCTCAACTAATAATATATATTCATCATCCGGATAAGCCTATAATTTTAAGGTTATGATTGTATAAAGGACGACCCGGAATTGGTCATGCGAAATTATTACTACTACGTAATTTCTCCTGGGGTCTAAAAACCAGAGTGAAAGTTGTGAAAGTAAAAGTCACACAAATTAATGATGCGATAATGTCAATGAGCCAACTTTCATGCTATCAAACCAATTATTATTTTTATTTTTATTAGCACGAGCACATTATTTCACAGCACTTATTATTTAATAACAACAGAATAGCGCATGCAAAATTTGGCGAGAACAAGGCAGTTATTTTTTGAAGCGGAAAAAATCATGCATGATTTTTTGAAATGTTTTTGACTTTATCTCGATTCGACAAGACATTTTTTTACACGTTACGTTACGTCAGTTATTTTTAAAGAGGGGAATTTTAAAATTGCGGAAATTGCAGGAGGAGGAGAAGAAAGCCACACGACACGAGGGGACGATCAGTTTTCGACTTTCACTTACCCAGGTACCCTGTTATCCAATCATTTGTGCACGCATTTCGTGGTTTCGAATGGTTGTGGTGTGGAATGGAAGTGGTAGTAGTAGAAGTAGTGAGATAAAATCAGAAATCAAAATTGTTATGTTAATTATATAATAATAACGGATTAATTAATTGTACAAGTTTTGGGAATTATTTGGTTATTACGTAAGATAAAATTTTGGCGTAATAAGTAATTTGTATGATTATCGTAAATATTTGGTTTAGTAGTAGCGCAGCGCGGCTTATCATACATACAGAATAATAATAATAAATTGTTACATAATAGCGGAAAAAATTAAGTAAGTGAAATGTCACTGTTAGTATTTTTTAGTCAGTTGTTACGTACATAAATATGGAAAAATGAGAAGCAGATAATTATTTTTGAAATAATGGATATCGTTTACTTTACTGCGAATCCATGCAGTTATTGAAATTAAGGTCAAGTCGATATTTATTTTTGGTTGAGAAGAAAGAAACTGCATCAACCCCCAAAAAAACCTTTAGATTTTGTTTAAAACAGTGCTTTGTTATACTTCCCTGCATGATTATATTGTAATTCACGTGATAATTTAGATCAAGAATTAAGTGAGACATGATTTTTTAGAAGTTTAATATATAAAAGTACAAGTTAAGAATTAGCTTACTTTTACATTCTCCAGCTCCTTGTGCTTTGTTAACTATTGGAAAGAGAACTGGAAAAGAAACCCAAAATTTGTTAACTCCGTGAGTCCGTGACGAAAATGAGAGTAAAAATACACCTAATTTAAAACTGTACTTATTGTTAATGGAATGATTGACACGTATTTAAAATACCTGTGCAGAGTAGGAAGAGTCCCAAACAATTCATGCCATTCCATGCCATGGGACTATGTGTCTTAATCCAGACTGACTCCAGTCCGGTGCACTTGACTGACTTAACAAATTTGTGTGTGTAATCGCCACACTCGATTTCACCACCTCATAACTCAACGATTCCTAATATTGAGACACGTCGTGAATCATACATAACTTATTGAAAACTATTTTACTGGAATTATGACGAGCAGACGAGAAGAAGTCACGTCGAGTGAATTATTGATCTCACTCACAGGAATACATATCTATCTTTATAGGAGACGAGAGGATTTTGTTTTGTGCAGCCTTGATACTTATCTGCCACCCGAGGAGGAAAAAAACTGATTTATAAATATCCGACCTTGTTTCTTTCTTCACTTCTCGCTTCTTTTAAAACTTTGAAGAGACAGTTGTGCCACTGTTACATACTCGATGTACGAATGTACGTACGTATTATCGGCGAGGAAGGAACGCACTTTTATTACTATTTCTTTATTTATGTTCTCCAACTTGGTCTTGCAGTGGTTACATACGTACACGGATGGTAGTTATTTATGTATTATAAATATACATCTGGTGGGCAATGTTTTGTACCCTCGGATAATTTTTTTCAGAAACCAGACCTTCGGAGAGATGAGAGAAATCAGTGGTTCATTGGGTTTAGGATAATGTGTGATTGACTTTTCGTGGCCCCGATGATGAAGAGAAAGTGAGTTCTGCTGGTGCTGCTGCTAAAGTCACATTTTGTGTAAAAAAAGATTGGAGAAAGCCGTCAGACAGTGGTGTCGAGTCGAGTGGAGGTATGCTCGACTATAAACATTAACAATACAACGGACGGATAGGCACGTTGCAAAGATATTCTGCACCATGGGAGGAGGATATGCTGTTTATGTGACCAAATCGATAAGGATACGACTGCAGAGCAGGCAGAACTTGAGCTGGCGCAAGTGCTCTCTCCTACCCGACTTTGTACCGCAAACTGCAACCCGGGTTTTGTACATACGCCCAACACAAGTAGCATGTATTCTCCTCCAGCATGTGAATGTATGGGTAGTTTGCATTTCCCAGTCAATTACAGGCCAGGGATGGATGTATCATGAATGTAAGGCTACAATGCGATACATATGTACAACAATACGAAGGGTATGGAAAGCAAGTATGTATACATATGGACCATTACGTTTGTATTTGTAGTAGTGGGAGATAGATGGATTGAGTCCTACGTATTATTATAGTTGGTTGGTGGGACTGAGATAAATTAGTTTCACACTTTGTTGTACGGGTAACAGCATCATTTCATTTCATATCTGGCTTCATGGTTGGAAAGGAATCAATCAATAAAAAAAATTGACTTCAATGCGGCAGAAGAGAAAGTAAAGGAATATGTGTAAATTTTTTGGAACGGATAAATAAATATCGATATGTATTGTGTCACTTAATGTACAAATCGTGTTTCGTTTCTTGTTATAAAAGGAGAGTCTTAATCAAGTCGAGAGTGAGAGGTATGAATATTTACTAAGAGGCAATTTGAGAATTGAGACAATTTCTCGAGCTTTCCATTCAAGAAAATGCAAGTATTTTTTTGATTTTGGGTCACTTAGTTAGTTTAACACGTGTGGTTGGGCGGAGACTACTTAATAATGAATGTCGCATTCTTAACCCGATTATAAATAAGTACTTTCCTTTTTTTAACCACGTCAACCCTTTTCCTTGCATCCTCGTGCAACCTTTTCCAGGATCCAGTCTCCTTTTGGCTACCGTTTGACTTTTACAATGCGGACAAAAGGGGCAAAAGGGTACGGCATATAAATAAACAAACATGCATTTTTTGTGTCGTCCATTGTTGTCCCTTTTATTGAAAAAGAACATTCTATGCGCACTTTTTCATGCGTGTACTTCTTTCCAGAATATGCAGGCTCTTGTCAGTATTTCGTCAGTAATTTGAAAAATCATTACACATACATTGTTCCAATCAGAGCACTGTAGTGCGTGCAGTGCGCACTGCACTCACAATTCCGAGCTAAAAGTAAAACTAGACCCTAAGGATGGATTGATGGACATTTATTTATTATCCTCACACGAATACCACATAATTCTTGTGCGTACTATTGTTATTGGTTGCACATATCATCCCAGTTTTTTCTAAAGTAGGCTCTTCGTCGTCGTCGTCGTCGTCGTCGTTGGTGTGTAAAGAAGGAGTTTCAAAGAGGTAAAGGACCTGAGACGAACCAGCAAGAAATAACACATAGTCAATCCTAACTGACAGCTCCTGGACCTGTCTGGCCACTTTCGTAGCGCAGCACATTCTGCTCACTACCAAGATCTCCCACTTCATATGCATGTAACTACATATCTGTATTTACTAACAAGGCAGTACAAGAAGAAGTTGTAATAAAAGGCGTAAAGAATGAACTCAATCTCAACGCTGGCATATGTATGAAAGAGCAGTAAGGATTGTTGCAAAGGTCATATGCCTTTGGCTCCATGCATTTCTGTCCAAATTTAAAATCGCCTCTCAAAACTGGATAGACATAATGCTAGGTGGTGGCGGACCATAGGGTAAAAAAAGTAATAATATGATGGGCTCGAATATTGCAGCGAGTGAGCATTAAATATTTGCCAATATATAAAATAATATGGCAGCTATCAATCAATCCTTTAATTTTAATGGTTCCTCCCGAATAATAATTGTAAAAAAATGTAGTAATTTCTTATTGAATTTACTTTACTAACTCATCATCAAATTATTAAACAATGAACATCACAATTACTCGGAAGGGATGACGAGTACGAAGAATCGAATTTTTTTGTCGTGACTAATAATCCACAACACACCTGGATTTCAGATCGTTTTTCCGTCAGTTCGTTGTCCAGTTAATATGGCATGAACTCGTTCCCAGTCTTACAAAACTTGCTAATTACACACACACGTTGCTTGCACGGGACACAGAGATATGTAACATAATACAAAAACGGTTCTAAATTTCGCACCTTTTACGGCATGGAGAATATGTATATCTAACTTCCCGTGTCGCATTATTAGTCACTCTCATGCCTGCATGCCTTGTCACTATTAAGAAAAACGTAAGGAAGTGTAACGTTCGTCTCACGGGAATTTCTCGTCATAATATCCATGCATCATCTTCCTTCATCTCTCACATTCTCTTCGAATCTTACATCCATCCAATAATAATAATGGACGCAGAAGAAGGCAAAGACCTCGCATTTGCACCTCTGGAAGAAAGTCACGCATTTTTTACTCGCATTGTTGGTCGTCGTCTTCGTACGTATGATCGTTTCGCCAGCCACACTGCGAAGAAATTGCAAGGCAGGCAGCAGCTCATAATCCAATCCATGAGAGATGATGATGACAATGATGATACTGCGGATGCCTTTAATCCCTGGTTAAAATTCATGGACTGCACTTACCTTCGTTCTCGGGGACCGTTGCGTTACATGTGATGATGATATTTCGAATTAAAGAAGCAGGGTGTATTCCACAGGTGGATGGATGGATGGATGATTGTGGAGAAGATTAACATTTCGCATTTTGCGATGATGATGACGATGCAATGCTCCACACCGTCTTGAGAGAGAGACATCTTCTATACGTGTATTTGCCCTATTGTTACGAGGAGGTTATATTGCAATGTTGTGTTGTCGTTTGGCCGGCTGGGGCATTGCACTTGAAAATACTGATTTACTCCGCATGGTATCTTTGAAATTGACTTTACAACTATAATTCTGCAGCAACTTCCATCTCCTTGCATGTACTTTTTACTACCTGTTATAACCCACCACGGACGTTCAGTCAGTGAGACGACTTATCCAGTTCCTTGCTCCCAAAAGTTCTCATCTCTCTTCGCACATCACGGCTTTTCGAAACTTTTTGTACTTGCAGTAGTTTAAAATCTTGTTGCGGAGAGGATTGTATGGGTTGGATGGAGGAGTTTAAATTTGTTTTTGAAAATGTGGCCAGAAATCCATACGCAGGAAGGAGAGGAGACTTGAGGGAGAGATGAAAAGAAGACATCGGGTCACCACATGTTACGAAAATCTTCCAGGGGAGTGCGGAGAAAAAGATGAAAAAATGGGAACTTGACCCATCACAGATTTCCAGAGATTCATAACATCCCTTAATTTAAATAATTCATTGTAACCATTTGTACGAAAGTAAAATCTCAATTTTCAGAAATATGTATTAATCATTTACAAATACTTATTTACCAATATTTTTCCACTAATTGCTGAAAAGGTCATCCAACTAGAAATTTAGAGGGTTGCAATTTTTGCAAATTTTTTCCCCACATTTTCGAAATCATTTAGCTCAAGTTGGCAAATTCCCAAAGTCAAAAAGTGACGGCGAAACCATGAAAAGAAAGCTGCTGCAAGTTGTTATTTGAGGCTGGATCAGTCAGAGTCCGTCGCTCGCACAAGCAACATCGTCGCAATCATCATCATCGTCGATGCAACTCTGGTATAAAATATAATTTTAATATTTCCATTGTTGTCGTTGACACAGTTCACACCCTCCTCCATCCACCCATTGGCCAATCGCCACAGTTAGTTAATTGTCATCAAATTAAATATACTGTTCCAGTCCAGGAAATATAATAATTCGCAATCAACAACAATTCTTAGTAGTCGAACGAGTCAAAGTCAAAGCGACCCCGATTCGCGAACACCTTCAACATACGTGTCACTAAAATTGGTGGACAATATTTTTTTTGGATATTTCGAGGAACTTTTTTTCTGAATTAATTGACTCAAAAGTGTGGGGTGGGTGAGATTGAGAAAATCCCGAGTTTTTTTTCAAGAGAGACTAATAAGTGACCTTAAGAAGAGGAAGTAGGAGATCCAGGTCGTATCGAACTTGTGGTAAGTTTACTTTACTTTAATTTTATAAAATGAAGATTAAGCAACTACGCACGAGAAAGTTATTTGATTAGAAATTTCAAGTCGTTAAGAAGAAAAGAATGGTCTATTGGGCTGGAGTGGATATGTCATTTCCATTATTTTAGTACATACGTACTTATGCAAAAAATAATACGGCGTGGTGGAGCAACAAAGACATTTTGCGTCATTTTTCATTCATTTTCCTTCGCACCTGTTGGAATCTCGTGTTATCGATTACATGTGAATAACTGGATGGAGTAATTTATTTAGTTGGATAAGATGAAGATGAGTGCACATAATTTTCGAAAAAAAACCTGCACTGCTCGCCCGGTGTGGGAGTTGGGTGGATGTGGTTTCATAGAGGTTTTTTCGAGAGTGGTTGCTTCGTTGGATGGAAGACACCCATTTACGAATCTGCAAAGAAGTGTGAGAGATGTGATCGCTTAAAGAATTTTGGAGCAATTCCGTCATCCGTGTCAAGTCAGCCAACTCTCTCGTTCGTTCGTTAACCTTCTCCATCTTCTTTTCCTCTCCGTGGTTTTATTATGTGTGTATCCTTATAAATACGAGGATATCATCTTCTTCTTACCTTTTTAAATACATATGTACATACGTAAGTAGTTGCCCACCATCCCGTCTTATACATACTTTGATATCCTGTATATAAATAAAATCTAGAAAATTATTCGGTTTTGGAACACAATCGGGTCGTCGTTTTTGGCAGGAAGTTTAGGATTTTTTAAATTTCTATGTCATGGGCGAACATTGCGGAAGCGCATAATTCGCCTTCGTGATTAATTTCAATTCAGACGCTACAGGACAATTTTAAGGTTTGGTATTTCATGGAATGTCAAAATCTTATGTGTACATGTCAGGTATCCATAAATAAGAAACTAACCATACTAAATATTATGTATGTATGTATCTCAACTTGCGTATGTATCTCTGAGTTATATTAAATTCTCCTGCAACAAATTGTATCTAGATAGAACAAGGCCACCACACTACCAGAGAGTAGTTAGAGATTCATGAGGTCGTGTGACGTAACGTTAAATTGTGCTGAAATACTATATTGGAACAATGGATTCATCATCATGGAATGGAGAGAAGAACATGGTGAGAATGGGGCTGACTTACTTTTATAATTCTTCCATTCATAACTTAACTGAACATGACTAACTAACTAACTAACTAACTAACTAACGATAACTGCTGAGCTTATAAATTGCGTACTGTACCGTTGGTCAAATGGGTTGAGAACGTTAGTTTGGTTTGGTTCAACCACCTCGTTTCGTTCTATAATTTTGATTGTCCATGCCTAAGATGAAGAAGAAGAAGTTTGGTAATGATTGCATCACTTGCTGCTCATTCCTTTACGTATCTATTCGTTTGTCTTTCATGAGGAGTATGGATAGCGAGAGATACCACCATTCATCCATTATTATTATTATTGAGTCATAGTCAGGTCAGTCGTCATAATGGTCGATCGGTGTGTGTGTACACGTAATAAGTAAACCAAGTACAGGTAAATGCTGCTGCATGGAATGGACTCTGTGTGAGAGAGATGAGACATATTTATTTCGTCTGACTACATTCAAGGTAATAATGTAATGCATTATGTACGTACGTACAAGTTACGTGAAGTGAGCCATGTGCATTTGTTTGTTGACTGTTTATATTTATCTGTGGTTGGTTGTACTACCTTCAACTTTGGTCTTACCTTGGAGGATAAAAAGGGGTGAAAAAGTCCATTATTGGATGTGGGCTGCTGATTTGATTACGGATTTTGCAACATGCTTGAGACTCGGCATTTATTAACGAGACTATCTACATGTAGAACTGTAAATATGTAGCTGTCAATGTATGTATGCATGTAAAAGACATGAATGTGACTCAAAATATGAAAGTCTCATGGGAATGGAAAAGATGTGTCAATACGTACATGGCTAATTTCTCAGCATATTTGTACCTTCATAACTTCCAAGATTATTTAGTGTTGCAATCTAATAATTGGTAAAGTTCATTTGACCAGTGAGAAGACAAATGTTGGAAAAGATGTAGGATTACAAACTGCCCTGCATTCGTAGACCAGATTTAATAGCGTTAATTACCAGTATGTTACACATACATATTGCCCAAACTCACGAGTTTTTAAGATTACCTTAGAAAATCTTGGTTCGATGGACGCCTCAGAATAGAGAAGCCTTCTCCTGCTGCCAGAACCAGTAAATTTATAATGGAAATCTCCACCATGAAGGGGCAGGCAGGAGAGTTAAGAAGAATTAAAAAGAAATTTCGAATCGAAGCCAGGTGTGGTAATTTGTATTGGATTTAGAAATAGCATGCACGCATAAGCATGGCAATTGCATGGCATGGCATACATATATATATAGCTCGCTCCTTAGAAAAAAAAACTCCTTTAAGCTTGCTCCAACTGATGGATGATGATAATAATATATGACGACTATGTACGGATAATAACGCAAGGATGCTCATGAAGAGAGAGTACCGTAATCTTTTTCTTGGAGATCGTGTTCCTGTACGAGACGAGTTAATGGATGAATTCGCATAGCAAAAAATAAAGAGGTTGCATGAACTGAGAATAATAAGGAACGCAAATTGAATGTAGATAGTGGTTGGACAGGTAGGATATTTCATTTTAGTTATATCTCTCCTCTCTCTCTGGTTTGGAACGTTTTAAAAGACTGTGTCTTGCTTGGGTAGTTCTTTTTAGTGTGGGATATAGTACAAGGATGTTAATGGTTGGTTTGGTTTGGTTGGTATATACTTCTTCGTGGTTGTGTTATGTGGAGAGTTGCTTACTTTGAGGTCTTTAACCCTTCCAAGTAGTAAGTAAAGTAACTGCCTAAAGGTAGCAACATTTCTTCTTATCCATGCCTTATTTGCGACGACGACGACCAACAGGTATGCATGAAGAAATGCATAGCGTTGTTGCTACTGCATGTACGTACTATTTCCATCCACAGTCCACACTACGGCTTTACCTCCATTATTGGTACAAATATATATTTGTAATAAAATAAAGAGGAAGACATTTTAAACTTTTTTCCCCTCTTGGTTTTTGGATGAATTTTTGGGAGCTTTCCCTTCCTTCATAGTTTTGGACACATTTTGGGACATTAACAAATAAAAGCTTAATACCAACCAATGCCCTCCTCCTATGTAAAACTAATCTTAATGCGACTTATTACCTTTTGACTCCTTTTGGTATACTCGGCTTAAAAGAAGAACAACTTGAATTTTTTAGTGGGTGGTTTGATTGACGAGGAACGACTAAGTTATAGATCTATGTATTTCATTCGTGGGCAGGTAAGAAGAGGCAAAATATGTACAGGTTAAGATATACTACTTCACTACTAATAATGAGTATGTAGTACATACATACATAAGTATGTGTGTAAGCCTGGAGATTGACTAAGACGAGCTGAAAGTATTTAACAATGTGTGGAACAAAATAGTCACCTGTTGGATTGTTGGGTTGGATTGTTAAGGTCATAGACCTGGAGAAAGGTGAATTCCCTCTCTCTCCTCCAGGAGAAGAGTTCAACAATCAGCCACAACCACAGACGGTGGGTTGTTGAACGAGTTCCTCCATCCATGCTCAGCTGGCTTAAAAAAGTTTCGAATTTCTTTGTTGATTGTTGAAGAACTTATTTGAGGAGAAGAGAAGATGGCTTGTGTGTGTGTGAAAGAGAGAGGAAAGAAATGGAAGAGGAAGCTATTATTATCGCCAAGAGGAAGTGTTCTTGTTAAGTTCGTTGGAGAATTTTGACTCCTACTCGATTGTTGCTGAATTGTCAGTTTTTTTGCAAATGTATAAAAATCGGTACAATTTTTTTTTCCAACTGTAATTAAAAATTTTTACTGTTTTAGTAAGTAGTTTAAAATTCTCGAATTTGGTACACATTTAGCATTGGGCAAATGAGAAGTTAAACTCGAAGGTGAGTAAAATCGGTCAAGTGATCGACCGGTGGGGGTTAAAAAGGTCGGGTGGGGTCGTTGGTGCAATGGTCGTTCTTAGAAGGCAAAAATGTAAAGGCGGACCCTATCTCGGGCTAAATTCACACTGCTCACTGCAGGTTTTTTTAAGTACGTTCTCATTTTGGACACAACCTTCATTTACTCACACTTTGCAAAAAAGTGACCTTAATATATAGAATTGAATCCGGTACGTATAGAATGGCGAGTAGTAGTGAAAGATAAATGCTCCATGGCACTATGCGTAGTAACATGACCATGTCCTACATTCAAAGAAAGGCACAAAGTCATCAACAACTTAAAACTATGCATAAAGTGGTATTGGAGATTTTTTGGAGTTTGCCATTGTTCAATATTTTAAATCGTGGGCTAAAAAAATGATTAGGAGAGAATGTAGCGAAATACTTTTTAGTGTGCTGGATACGAGATATTGAGAATTTCATTGTTGATAATAAAGCAATAATAACTCTAGGCGCACAAAAATCGTGAGCGATCATCAAGTCGTGTGGTATGAACTGATTTACGAATATGGGAGACTATGATGTGAAGTTTCGAAAAATCAGATTCGAATAAAGGTAACAAACTGCTTCGGGGGGACTCACCCACCAATAGATGCGATAGAAGAAGTGAGATTGTGATTGTAAAATTTCTCCTAAAGGAATTACCTGTCTGGAGGAGATGTACTAATGAATTATGGGCTTGCCATTTACAACTAGATATGCATCCACACACAGTGGACACGTTCTTGACTGAGAAGAAAAAGATAGTTGAGAATTTTAGCATTATCATCATTCTCTCAGCCACAGCAAGCGAGTGGAGTACAACAATGTACAGTTTTTGAGTGTGCAAGAAGCGTGATAAATTTGCAGTGCACAGATTTTTAAAAGAACAAGAAGTTGGTTGGATGGATGAATGGATGGATGATGGAGTTCCTGCTACTGAGAAAGAATGCGCGTTGTAAATATATGTACGTTTAATGATTT